ACATTGTAAAAACATAAATATTTATACAAACATAAAACGTATTAAGACATATCACGCAGTGAATGAATTAAAAAATCAGTGTACACATAAAAAGTATACAAATGAATACAATTCATAAAATTCGCTTAACATTCTATTCCACAATCATCATAGGGCTGGAGGGAAATATAGAAGAGAGGTAGGGAGGATAATAGTGCAGACAGCACGGGAGACCGAAGAAAAGTGTGAGAGAGAGACAGACAGAGGGAGAGAGGGAGGGAGAACGAGAGACAAAGCAAGAGAGATAGAGATATATATATATATATATATATATATATATATATATATATATATATATATATATAAAAGATAATGCTGAGGATGAGAGTGTATATCAGACATATCTAAAATAAGGTAAAAAGTACAATTTCGACAGAGAGAATACTGGTTGTAAAAATTAATAAATTACATTTTACATTTTCATTGGTGAGTTATGGATAACATATATTGTAAATTGATCGGTAGGTATGCAATCAGATGAGAGACATGAAATATGGTTATTTTGAGATTTTTCTTGTAATAAATATGTGGCAAGTATGTTTCAATCATTACATAAGTTAACATTGGTAATCTTGATTTACCGTATTATATTATCATTTTCATTAATCAATTATTAAGGTTGTACAATCGTCTTAGTTACAAAATTATATACTATTTCACATAAAATAAAATAATTATACAGCACCTCTACCTCACCACTATGGGGATAAGTTTACATGTTATACAAAATAATGTGGACAAAGTGCATGATCACTACTGTGAATTTAGCAAGTCAATAAGGTAGGGAACTGGACTGTTACAAAATCGTTTGGTTTTACATTTTAACTGTTCTCTGGTATTTGGTTTGTGTAGGCTTCTAATGTTCTTACAAGGAGGTATGAGGTAAGATACCTTCTCGTTTGATATCAGTTTCTCTGCAAAACTCAAACACAGTTTCTTCCTTCTGTCAGCCAAAGAAGACAGATTCATTAGATTCAGTGCTGTCTCATATTCACTGGTAATTAGGTCCCAAGATTATTTTCAGAGTTCTTTTCTGCACCCTTTCTAGTCGATCTACTTGTTCTTTAGTTAGGCCTCCATTCCACACCGGCGAGGCATACTCTACGAGGGGTCTGAGGAAACCAGTGTAGATGGTAAAGAGGTCTTCGATCGGCAGTGAGGTGTATTCTTCCATTTGCACGTTTTATCATGAAATCCACATGATCACTCCATTTTAAATCACAGCGGATATGGACTCCTAACAATTTGACAGACGTGGATTGCTTTAGAGGATGCTGATCAATTTCCAGTGACAGTGGTGTTGGAGGCTTTTTCATAAAACACACCTGCATACTTTCACATTTAGCAGGGTTAAGGGACATTCCATTTGACGTAGACCACTCGTGACCATATTTTCCCTCGGCACTGCGCGCTTCGGGAAAATATAACCAATCGGGAAATATAACTCCCTTCAGCGGTCCAAATAATGTTATATTACACCACTTGCCAGTCAATAACTGTATAATATACCCGCTTCTAGGGTTCTTAACCCTTTGAGAGCGAGCCCGCGCACAGCTATTGTTTCCCCTGTGACGGAGCGATTTCGGTTACATCGCCAGTAATGGAAAATTTGGCGGTGCTTTCTACTTTCATTGCTCATTGCGCGTCATTCAGCCATTTTCGTGATTTTTAGTAAATGTAAAAATGAAAGATCAGACTTTTTTCCTTTCTAAAAATGTAAGTTTTGTTTATCATTACGAAAAATACAGTCTGTTATTTTTGAGGGGAATTGCCGTCTTATTTTGCTGAAGCTTCACGTCTTTCCTTTTCAATACACTCGCAATACAAATTGCGTAAGCACCGCCGCACGCGCAGATCGGTCGATACCTCCATTCATTTCCCCCATTGTCAATGATTGTCGTCTGCTAAAGCTCGGCCGATTATCAACCGAGCCATAAATAATAGGCCTAAGCCTTCATTTTACGGTTTTCGACACAATATTGTAATAAAATAGTAATGATAATAAAAATTATTTTCTTCATCTTGCACTTGCTTTTCTTCATTGCCAGAAAACTTGTTTTTATGTTGCCTTGCATTTCTTTTTCCACAATTGTAGCATATCTTTGCCCAGGAAAAGTCTCATATTCGTGGCTATATCGCCGGAGTTGCTCAAGACAAGAGTGAATTCCGTGGGGAGAGAGAAGAAGAGTAAGGGGTCATTTTTCAGAACATAACATTTGAACATTTCATATGCCCGCTCAAAACAAGACCGGCTTTAGGTTGATCAAGATATTTTACTCATACCTGCTCTAAAATGGTTACATGCCCTCGTAAAGGTATATAAGTTAAAGGACAAGTCCACTCGAAAAATAACTTACTCTCACTAAAAGCAGAAAAATCAGACAAACCAATTAAAAAAAGTTTGAGCAAAATCGGATAACTAATAAGAAAGTTATGAAAATTTGAAAAAGTATGTAAAACTATGGAACAATGAGATTCACAACACAAATTGCCAAGATGGTTATCAGTTTGTGACGTCATGTCCTCACAACTTATCAATTGCTTTATATAGTTTAATCCCATTAATTTCCCTTTTTATCCCCCAAAACTTGATTTCCCCATGCCTTTGCCCAGGTTATATGATTTGTACCATATTGCGTGCATGACATTTCCCAAAAACTTTTAGGAATTTTGAAGAATTGATACTATTTTCTGAATATTGTATTTCATAATTATTGATTTTTATATAAATAGTTTATCAAAATTCAATTTTCATGATTTAATTGGACATAAATTACTCTTTATTTGAGCATCCACACAAACAAAATATTACTAACAATCTAACTTGGATGCTGGTGTGAAGAAATAAGATTCTTAGGGTGAAAATAGGAAATTTATAGTATCAATATAAAGAAAATAATTAGTGGATAGTGAGGACCATACGTCACAGACTCATGAGTGAGTTGCCAATTTGTGTAGTGATTTTCAAAGTTTGTTATGTCATTAAAAATTCATAACTTTCTTATTAGTTATCCGATTTTGCTCAATCTTTTTTTGATTGGTTTATCTGATTTTTCTGGTTCTATTGAAACTAAGTTATTTTTGGAGTGGACTTGGGCTTTAAAGTGGTCGCATGTATTGACCTATTAACCTACGTTTAGGCTTACATCCTCTTCTTTCAAAACGGTAAACTTCCAGAGTAGTTACTTCTTTACAATATTTTGTTCCTCTTTAGGTGGGGATAAGCCTTTCATAAAAGAGGTCCATACATGAATGATTCGCTTAATTGGTCAAGTTTATAAAATGAACAGCGCGTATTGTCATGTAAATACCCTACATCGATAAGGCTTAGATTAGCATATGATGGAAAAAAATGCCACACCGGTAGGGGAAATAAATATAAATAAGTAATCAGGGTCGAAATTGAACTGATATTACGACCCGTAATACAATTATCTGAAATGCGGAAGGGTGCATACAGAACTTGGAAGTAGCGTCAAGCAAGAATATATAACGGACGCGCGCGTACCCGTCAGTCTCTAGCCTTACGGGTATTTCAGGCCTTTTTTCGATCAGAACACTAACTTAGAGTAAAGTTGAAATGATATCACTTTTTCTCGATTTTTTTCTACGTAACTATATTGTTTTTATAATAGATGAGAGGAATGAATATATCTAGATGATAATTCGAAGAACTTTAGCACATAATAGCTAAAAATAAGCTGGAAAACTTTGTCAACATTATTAGGGATATATCTCGGCTTCTGTAGAAACCCGTCGTCACAGACTTAACAACTCGCTCGGCTTCTGTATAAGCCCATCGTCTCCAAAGTACTGTATATAGGAGTCATGTTTTTGATGTACCAGTAGGCTAACATAGAGAGAAATAGTGAATATTTTCATTTGTTGTTTTTTGACGAATGTAAGGACTGGATAATGAGTAACATTTTAGAAAAAACAAACATGGGTATGTGTACTATATATACATCTTTAGTTTAAACTGTGATTTATTTGACCCCCCCCCCCCCCCAAAAAAAAAAAAAAAATAAATAAATAAATAAACATAAAAATAAAATAAAAAATAAAATAAAATAAAATAAATAAATAAATAAATAAATAAATAAAAAAAAATTAAAAAATTAAAAAATGTTGGACTTTCTGTTGGTAACATTGTTAGGCAAATGTTGCAGCAAATTTTGAAGGATTTTGTTGGAAACCAATTATTTTACACTCTGCACTTATTTTGAACAAGAGCCACTTCATACCATCTGTAATCAGTTATAACTACTGTATCATTCTTATATGATAGGTATTTCATCCTCATATCATGTCATAAAAGAAAAATTTACTTTCCACTGGTTTTGTTGTTTGTGAAAAAAGTTAATCTGAAATTCTGAATATGGAGTATTTTTTCTAAAACTTTTGGTCCTTTCTTTTGAAGGGACACCCATATTAATATTATTGTATTGTTCTGGTGTTCAAATATCTTTGTGATATAGCAAAGATTTTTTTTTAATGCTAACGTTTATGCCCATAAACAGAATTAAAAGACAAGTATTTCATAAGAGTTTGCCTTCTTCATGCTTTATTTAGGTAAAGCTTTTTGTTTTTATTCCTGTTTTGATATTTGAGGGAGAATCAAAATAATCTTTTCTAAGAAGAAGATGTTTTAGGGGCTCTTTGTTTCCTCTTATTTTACCTTTTGTGTTTCATTCAAGAGCTTAAATATTAAAAAAAACAATGTATTTCTGAGTCTATTCTCTCACTTTTACTTGATATTATTTTTGGAGGCCTATTGTATTCTTCATGTTTAGACACAGTCTTGCAATGTACACCATGAGGCATGCAATGACAGAACAGTGTGTTTGTTGAGGTCTCGAGCTCTCCTTTAGTGATGCATCAGCCCGTAGCATCTATTGTTTCTTATCCCTATTGACTGCATATTAGAGCACTGAATATCGCCTCCCTACTGCAAATTCCCTCATTGAGCATTGCAGAACATGTTACATCCACTGTAGTGGGGAGTGAGAGAAAGATATAAAGTGTGTTCATGCATTTTCCTTAGATCTGTTTTGCTCTGCATGATTTTCATGGGTGGAAATTCTTGTTGAGTCTCCTGTCTGTCAAGATGTGTTATGCACATTTGTTTCTGGATCACTGATCATATATTCTTGTGCTTCTTATAGTATGGATCAGTCACTGAGCATATTCTTGTACCTGTAGCCTTCATTGTTTGTGTCAGCTGATTTACTTGGTAGTGGCATTTTGGACGGATTAATCAACACCTATATAGCTTGACAACCCTTCTCGCTTGGTTCCTGATCAATGGGATATTGAGAAGCATCATCAAGAAAAAGACTTGACTTGTCCTCAAACAACCCGGTAGAACTACTTTTAATTGAAGGCATATTTACATCATTAGCAGGCCAATTAGCATACAGATACAAAATCCTCTCCTTGGGTATATCTTCCGAAAAGCATCATACTAGATAAAGATACAAGTCTTCTCTGTGTGATTCGACCATCATTCTGTGTTGATCATTCATTTAATGCACGGGAAGGACCCGGACACTATAGAGAAGTTCAGTGACCCACATTTATTTCCTGCCCTCTAGATAGATATCCAGATCGAACTACACACAAGGAAATATTATGTAAATCTCTGCTGGTACCTTGAGTAGAAGGTGGTCAACATAATTAAGAAGCCCTGCATGTACAGTTGTACGCCATAAACCCTATACACTTTTAATACTGTACTTCTTGCTCCTGTGCGTAGTCACAACACACTTGCTTGTTGCAACGACTGATTGAATGAGCAGCTCACTCAGAGCAGCTTCATCTAGGTGTTTTTAATCAATTTCTGCAGCCTCACATGTGCATTGTACATACACGTAAGAAGATGGTACATCGTGCATGCAAGATCTGCATCTCTCCTGTCGTGATAATATGTATATCGCTGTGAACTAATTTTGTGAGCCAGAGTTACGCTGCTATCTTCCATGCTAATTCTGTGATACCTAGGGATATACATGTATGATCTACTGTAGATCGAGCTTTGTGAAGCGTGATTTACTTCTTTTATGCAAGATTGTTAAGGAATTGGAAGAAATTCCCACAAATACTCTAGCTGCTCCCAGGATCATCTGTGATATCACCAGAGCAATAAGGAAAAGGAACAGTGATAAACAGACTGAAACATTTAAAGGTTGACATCAATTGATTGAATCTTGACTCGAGATACTATTTGAAGAAATTGTTGAGCAATTAACGATTAAGCCAGCATGGCAAGTGGTGGAGACCTAGGAATTCCGTCAGCTTCGTCATTCAATGATAGTACTAATGTAGATGTTTTGGATGTATGCATAGCACCTCCAAAACAAGGTATCTAATATGTATACATGTGTTATCTTTTTCATCATGCATTAAGACTTGTAAATATGATTATATACGTAAAATTGGTCCTGAAAGTTTATATATGTATACACAAGGCTGAAAAACATTTTACTCCCATTTTCACAACTGCACTCATAATTCCTATCAGGAGTCACATACATGTACATGTACTATTTATAAACACCTCAGAGTGATTAGTGATGTATATACATGTATGTACCGGTATGTATTAAACATTAAACAGAGACCAAACTTGTCCATCCGGCTTCCTGAAGTGAAAAGTTGACAGGAATGAGTGACGTTGTCATGCTTTTCTACCAGGTGTATGCCAACCTTCGGGTGCAATTTTTGTTTAAAGGTTTTAAGTGAATAGTAATTTTGTCTGTAACAAAATGTCCTACATGCATGCACACTAGCTGAGCCCTGTGTTATACGATGTATACAGAAAAGTGAAGCGCATTAAGCCACCGTGGTTTACTGCATCACATATAAATGGGACTTATCTAGAGCCACATTATTAATTTCCTGTTTCTCTTCATGCTAATTTCTTTTATCTGTTTATCTGTTTAACTACTTTTATGTAGTTGAGTGCATGGACAAAAACAATCTCATTGAGAACTTTTGTTAGATTTGAAACAGAAGCAGGTATATACATGTACATGTATGTATGCATGATCATTAGAGACAATAATTATTATTATTTTTTTTTTTTAGAAGTTTGGATGAGAATCTGAGAATAATGCATACTTTTTGCCTATTAAACCTCTAGATTGCTAATATACATGTACTCATCATTTACTAGTCAAGTTGCTACATGTACAGTACTATCTTACTCAGATGTGAATGTGGTATCTCATACACTGTATAGTGCATTCAGTGTGAATGTGGTATCTCATACACTGTATAGTGCATTCAGTGTGAATGTGGTATCTCATACACTGTATAGTGCATTCAGTTTGAATGTGGTATCTCATACATGTACACTGTATAGTGCATTCGGTGTGGAGGGTGAAAAATTAATAGGGCTACGGAATCCGAAAGAGTTGAAAATCATTGAAATTTCATTTCATATCAAATGAGAACATCCAATGACTTAAATCTAAAGTAATCTGTTGTTCCATACGCAGGGTGTGTGTGACAAAAAGATGCTGTCTCCATCTTGGATATATACACTTGGGACAACATCATTTCATACAAACTGAATCTTCTTGGACAAACTTACCCTTCTTAATCTCAAAGCTTGCTATTCACTGTGCTTTATAGGTAATGTTATGGTTCTTGTACTTAACAGACAAAAAAATGCTCTCATCGATCCAACAATTGGAGGGAGGGAGAGAGAGAGAAGAGGGAGGGGGGGGGGGGGGGGGGGGAGAGGGAGGAAAAAAAGAGGAGATAAAGAATGTTAAGTCATTTAAGCTCATTTAATGGTCCTTTGTGGTTTAATTCTTCAGACAAACTTGCCCTCATTATCCCAAAGCTTGCAACTGTAGGGAAAACATGTTCTCATCAGCTCATCTTATCATTCTTATATAAGTACATTTGCCACTCTCCACCCAGGTGTCAATGGGTACCTGATATGCTTGAGCACTAGTTACTTAGGCAGCTCGGTTATGACCAGGGTAATATGTGTAAAGCGCCATGAGCGTCAGAGCCTGACGTATATCGGCGCTATATAAATAACCTTATTATTATTATATTATTTATAACCTTTCATTCTTCACAGATAAACATGCCCTCATCAATCCCGAAGCAGCTAGCCCCAGGGAGAGAGCCCCATTGAAAGAAAATGAAGTTGTGCAACAGGAGATGATATGCGGTTACGATGGCCTGAGATTCATCGTGGTATCGTCCATCGTGTTTGCATTGGCTGTGACCGTAGGGTTAGTCGTATCCATCATCTCTGGACAGAGGCAGGTAAGAATTAATGATGGAAATTGGAACTTACTGCTTGCATATATATAAAGGAACTTGTCAGTAGACCTAAATCCCAAGGCAGCGTCTCACAAAACTATCAAAGTACAAGTCCAATGACATCCCATTGGAATGTGTGAACTAGTACTTTTGAAGGTTTCGTGAGAGGCTGCCCAATAGGTCAACTTCCCATTAGGCCGATGTCACAATAGACCGACGTCCCAGTAGATTGCCATTTTAGGAGACTGATGGTCTATGAGACCGACAACTCATGAGATTGATAGCCATGAGACTGATAGCCCATGAAACCGACAGCCGTATGACTAATAGATAGCCCATGAAACCGAAAGCCATGATACCGACAGCCATGCAACCGACAGCCCTTGAGACCGACAGCCCATGAGACTTACAGCCATGAGACGGGCAGCCATGAGACGGACAGCCATGAGACCGACAGCCCATGAGACGCACAACTCACGAGAGAACGATCTTGGTCAAGTGAACCCTCTGAAATGTTTTTGTCAGCAGGCCCATGGGACGTGACATGTCAGCCTCATGGATTATCAGTCTAGCGGACCGTTGGTCTCCTGGGCTGTTAGTCTTGTGAGCCGTCGACCTTTTGAGCTCTGAAATAACTTCTCAGAGGGCCTGTCAGATTAGATTTGTTAGTCTCATTTTATTGTAATTTTGTCATTTAAGCATATCTAACATATAAGCAGGACATGAAAAAAGATCACTCCACTGCACAAGTATTAGGTTAGAGATGCCAAATATTGAATAAAAGTTATTGGGAGGGGTCTTCATAAATATTCTTTATTTTACTGGGCTATGGGATTAGTATAATCGAAATTTGCCCAAGAACGAAAAAGGAAGACTTATTTTCAGTTAAAAGTAGTTAAAATGTTATTTATTTACCTTATGGCACATTTTGGGTCTCTTCATTGAACACATAATAAATTGGGTTTGTAAGTTACTTGTAACACAGGGACATCCCTTTGCTCTGTTCTTTTCATAATAAGATTTACCCCCATGGCGCCATAGCAACGGATGTTGCGGTGTGTTCAGACATAGGAGCAGACATGTTGAAACAAGGAGGGCATGCAGTCGATGCGGCGGTTGCAGCAGCGTTCTGTCTAGGAGTGGTACACGGTCACTACTCTGGATTAGGAGGGTAAGAATCGTGTGAAATTTGTGTGATTTAATACAATTTAATGCTTCAGCCTTTGTTATTAAAGTGCCTCGTTACGAATCACTCCATTCACCTGTAAAAAATAAATGTATTTTAGTAGTCGGAATGAAAATTGCAAGTATATGTTATGCAGGGCTCAATACTAACAGGCGCCTGGGACAAATGGGTTCCCAAAATCTCTGAATTTTGACGAAGGGATCATGTATAAAGACATTGAAGACTCAAATCTGAACCCCCTTTCAAAGAAGGTAGCATTAAGCATTATGTGTTGTCAGGTATTAAAGAGAAGCCATGACCTGGTGACATCCAATGTATGCAATTTACATTATGACTGTTGAAATACAATAATAAGTGAATGTAATAGTGAGAAACTGTCTAAATTTGGATATAATTGAAAATGGTCAATTGCTAAATATAACACTTTTTTTGTTGTAACTTTCACACATATTTCTGGCCCCCAAGCCAGCGTTTATAACCATTGATGCTATATCTTTATGCGGCCGAATCTGACTATGATTCACATGACATTGTACTTGTGAGGGTCATCTGAGTGCAGCCTGTTGTCTTTGATCATCATTAAGGTCACAAGTACAAGGTCCATTGTTTAATTTATACTGGGAATCTCGCTCAACAAGCCTAGCTTTTCTGAGATATCCTTTTTCCCCTCTCAGTTAATTAAGCAATATAAAATATTTTGTCTTATTCTCAAACTTAAATGTACTCTGTAAACTTATTTGATTACGAACATACTTGTCAGTATTTTGTTACTTGTATAATTAATTTGTTCTATTATATATTGTATTACTGTATTTTGTATGTCATTTAATTTGTGGATATTTGAGTGGAAAATAAATCAAATCAAATCAAATAAAAAAAAGTAAACACTACATGTAAGATATGTACCCTTGGTACAGATAATATCTGCTTTGTTATCAATTGATACAACCTTCACCCTTATGAACTTTCTGTTCAAAATGATGCTCAAACATGCGATTCGTCATACAATGTTCCTTTGTTCAATGTTTCTTGATATGATGTTCAGACTGTAACAAGTATGTAGGCCTAAAAAATGAGGGAACATCAGAGTTGATGCTTGGTACGACAGGTAATTTCTGTTCTTGTTACAATAAAAGCATTAAAAAATTTTAAAAATTTAAAAAATTTAAAAAATTTAAAAAAAAAAGTATGTAGGCCTATACCTATTTATCATATAGCTGTATGATTCTCATATGGCTATACAATGTATTTGGGTGCTCTGAATGCAGGATTACTTGTCTCTGCTCCTTTTAATGGACTTTGGGTAATAATAATAATACTAATATTCTGTGTTTATATAGCGCTCAATACATCAATCCAACAATGTGCCTAAGCGCTTTACAGATATATAATTACCCCGGTCATCGGATTCAGGCTTAACCGCACACAATGTATGCACATTTTCCACTGGGGAGCATTCCAGCCAGTCGCCATTTTACAAGCGCACACTTGCTTGTCCAACCATATGAACTTTCGCATCCTACCGGGTACCCATTTAACACCTGGGTGGAGAGTAGCAAGTGCAGGTTAATATCTTACCAAAGGATATTAGTGCCGTGTCGGGATTCGAACCCTCGACCTTCGCATCTACAGTCAAGCGCCTTAAACCACTCAACCACGACACTCCCACTTGTATCCCTGTTTTAAAGGATCACTTCGATCAATCGCATCTATGTGTACCTATAGGGGGACACTTTTTGCAAGGAAAATGAAAGAAAAACAATCAATAAATGCTGGTCTCTACTACAATGTTACAGCTCATTGTTAGGTTTGAAGACAGAAAAGCCACGAAATGAAATGAATTCAGTCTCCACACACATGTGGTCGAAAAGAACATTATGTTATTGTTTTCTTTTTCTTCTCTCTTCAGGGGAGGTTTTCTGCTGGTAGGAAACCCTATTTCCAATGACCTTGCCGGGTTTGACTTTAGAGAAACAGCTCCATCAGGTAGCAGTGCTAACATGTTTGCAAACAACCCACAAGCAGCTTTACAGGTGAGATATAGTCCAATGTAGATGTTAATCACCTTAACAAATTTCAAGTGTGTGCATGGATAGAAGGCACGGTTCCTCAGGCACAGCTCGTGCCAGGACCATACTAAAAAGGTCCTTTAAACATTAGTTCACTCGTGGTGTATGTGGCCTTAAGTGATAATGCACGACTAAAGCTACGGTCACAAAGGTTCATACGAACGATGCGTTCGTACAAATCTCTGTTTTTCCATTGTCTTCCCGAACTTTCATTGTCTGAAAATCATTCGTACGGCGTTTGTAGCATTTCGTAATGCCATTTGTGACTGAGGCTTTAGATCCATGTATGTGTATCTCTAGCACTTACAAACAAAAATAACACTCCACCCCAACACTAACTATGTGACTTAAAACTTCACAATTGATTATAGGGTTCAAACAAAATCAGTTGGAACTCAAATTAATTGATTCTACTGCATCTCAGGATATCATGTATGGAACAACAAATAGTGTTCTTTTAAAATTGAGTTTTACAAATTTTGCTGAAGTACGTGCCAGAAATTAAAACTTACAGGTTGTTATCTTGAAGGAAAATAAACATGGTTTATTTTTATGTTTGTTGTAGGGAGGTTTAGCAGTGGCTACACCAGGTGAATTGAGAGGATTAGAAGCAGCATGGAAACAGTATGGAAAGTGAGTATTACACTTTTCTTGCATTTTGGGGGTTTCTTTTGCAAATTTGGCTAACTCTCCACATAAGGTACCTTTTGAGATCATGATGAAGTGTGTTGAATTGTTTTGTACTGTAGTGTAGAATAAATGGAGAAAAAAAAATCTTGTCTTAAAGCTTTAGGAAATGTTATTGATGTTTATTAAGTGAAAAACCATATGTGAATTTTAAATCATTTCTTTTTGTACTGCTGAATGAGTAGCCCTAAATAATAAAAAAAATCTTCAAAATGGGACTGAATTTTTAACCTGTATTTCAAATTTTAAATAGTCCTTTCAATACTGTTGTGTCACAATAACTGTTTATTTTAATGTGACCAATTGGCAAAAAGTTCCTAATTGTGTCAAAATCATACATAATATATAGCACATTAAAAATAACCACCACTCTATTACTGCATAACTTGTACCATTAACGTTGGATATTTTTGAGGTACAGTGCACAGGGAAATGGTTGTTTCCTGACTCTTATTATCATTTCACATCTGTTACTTTGTATCAGAAATGGTCATTGGTCATACATAGAATCAACTCAGTGTGTGACTAAATATCTTAAAGATAGCATCATCTATTTGTATGATATATGCACATTTTGTAATTTCTGTGATGCAGGTTGTCATGGTCAGAATTAATAGAGCCATCGATAGAGCTGGCTGAGAATGGATTCAAAATTACACTGCAGCTTGGTAAGTATTAAAGGCATCCTCAACATCAAGTTGATCTAAATAAGCTATGCTACATGTTTGATAGAGTAAACATGCCATAACAGATATGCTCTAGCGACAATTGCTCCTTGCTTTCTTAAAGGGGAAGTCCACCCTGATATGAAGTTGTTATAAAGTTATTAAGATTTTAATAGAAGCAGAAAAATGAGAGGAACAGGTCAGTGAGAGATTGAGCAAAATCTGATTTAAAAAAAAAAGGAAATTATGAATTTTCAAAGTTGCGATCAATCAAATACAGATTGGCAACTCTGTGACGTTTCTTGCAAGGTCCTCTATGATTTGCTCTGTATTAAAACAAATCAGAAATGTATATTTTTTCAAATCATGCATGCACCCTAAATATATTCATTGCAAATATGTTTTTATATAGCTCCTGTATGAAACATATCTATTCCATCATCAATAACTAAAGAAAATGAAAGTTTATGGAATTTTCTGTACAAAGAAAATTGGAGAGTACCTCGCAAGACATATCAGTGTTGCCAATTTGTGTTTCACTGATGACAACTTTTAAAATTCATTACCTTCCTAGTTTTAAGCAAATGTTGGATCGCTGGTTCATGCGCTTGACTTCAAGTCAGAAAATATTAGTACTAAAAATGATGATGGCATTATGAAGTCGGTTGCCATAGGAGTATTACAATCGTATGCTTGATCCAATAACAGAAAATACAATAAACATGGGAATTGTCACTAGAACGTTCAATAAGCAGAAATAATATTGAGAAAAGTTGTGGAAACTTGGTGTTAAAGAAAGGCTTGACGCACATAACTTTGTAGTATTATACAGGAATGAATGGAGCATTCCTCATACAACTGTCCCTTTTCTTTCCTACATTTAGCTGCTGATATTAGCAATACAGATTTCTCAGGGATGTCTCAGTCGTTGCGTGACCTCTTCGAGGAGAAGAAGGTCAACGATACACTCCAGAGGCCATCCCTTGCCAGTCTCCTAAGGGACATCGCTGATAAAGGTTCAGAAGCACTCTACAGCAATGATACCATTGCACAAGAAATTGTCGATACGGTGAGAATCATTGAATATAATAATGATAATAATAGTACAGTTCTTATAAAGCACATAATACATTTAATATCTCTATGCGCTGTAGGAAAAATGAAAAAGAAGAAAGTAAATACTAGTAAGGACAAAGAAAATATACTGTATGGTAATATTCTACACAGCATGGTCAAATTCTACACAGAATATCATCCCTCAGATTAAAAGTTGCCTTTTTATGACAAGATGAAAGACTAGCTCTGTATAGTTCAAATCTAAGTGTATGATGTTCATGCAGGAATTATAACGTCTCAGAGCATAACCTTATCAATGGTTATGTGACACTCATCCCTCTCTTTGACTCTCTCTCTCTCCCTTTTTCTTGCCTTCTCCTGTTTGTCTCTTGAATTGATTATTGTTTTAAAACCTTGTATAGTCTTAGGAAGGATATCAAAATAGGATGTCAAATTTATAATACACTTTCCCCAGGACCTGGGTGTCTTTTGGACGCCAAAAGCCAAGTCACCCCTCTCGCTCAAAGCCTAAGCCTAGTTCCTTTGATACAGGTCCATGATTCTCTCTCTCTCTCTCTCTCGTTCTGTTATTTTATTCTTTGCCTCTCTGTTTCCAACTATCTCTCTCTCTCTTTCTCTCTCTCTCTCTGTCTCTCTGTCTCTCTGTCTCTCTCTCTCTGTCTCTCTCTGTCTCCCTCCCTCCGTCCCTCCCTCTCTCTCTCTCATCGTCTCTGTATCCCCTTTTAGCCTATGTATGTCCATCAATTTAATTTCTGTTTCTGGTTTTATACCCAGGTTGGAGGTAGTCGAGGCATCCTGAGCCTCCAGGACTTGCACGCCTACACCGCCCAGCCCGCCACGCCCATCCAGTCTTCCTATGACCTCCACCGCATCTTCAGCTTGCCCGCCCCCAGCTCCGGGCCCTCTATCCTCTCCTCCCTCCATGCCATGGCCGGTCTCAACATCTCCACCGACAACATCATCTCCCCATTAACCTACCACCAAGTCATCGAAATCTCAAAATTTGTCGCCGCCCTTGCGCGGCAGCTCGGCGACCCCCAGCAAACGCCCGAGAGTGCAAACCTGACGGAATCCATGCTGAGCGACAACACGACGGAGAAGATTTTGAAGATGGTTAATGGCACGGCAACATATGACTATCCGCATTATTTTGAAGGGGATGTCTTCCAACAGCTTTTTGCAACTCAGGCCACTACCTTGGTGTCTGTTACTGATGATAATAATAACATTGTGTCACTTACAAGGTAAGACCTGTGCCATTTTTTGTTTGAATATAGTCACAAATTTCCTTGATCATTCTCCCATGTATCGTGGTGTCGTGGACGAGTGGATATGTCACCGGACGGGGGATTACAAGGTCCACGGTTCAAATCCCACCGCGGCACTAATGTCCTTTGGCAAGACATTGATCTATATTTGCCACACTCCACCCAGGTGTTAAATGGGTACCCGGTAGGATGCGAAAGCTAATGTGCTTAGATTAGCAAGTGTGCACTTGTGAAAATGACGCCTGGCTGGAATGCTCCCCAGGGAGTGGAGAATGTGCATACATTGTGTGCGGGTAAGCCTTGAATCCGATGACCGGGGTAATAGTATATATATATCTGTAACGCGCTCTGATAGGACCCTCCTGAAAAAGCGCTATATAAGAAATAGTTATTATATCAAAAGCATGTCAGAGACTTCCTATTGGTCTAAACATTGTCTTAAATTTCCTGCATGTAATGATGAAATTTTATTTTTTATCAAAAAATTCTCCTGCTTATGGTGAAAACCCTCAACTGCTTCCAGTGCATGTATAACAATTGCTCTGAACTGGTTAAAAAAAATTAATTATATTCAAGGACTAGAACTTGCCGTTCTAAGCACTGATATTCTCTCGCGAAAGGAATATGAATTTGCCTTGGGAGTATTCCTACCATATGTACTCTCAGTACATATGGCAATTTCATCCAGTGGTTTTGGGAATCCTACAAGGTCCTTATACAGTGCGTCCCAGAAAAAACGAAACCGAGAAGTATCGATGTTTTATCATAACTTAATCACAACCATAATTAATGAATGATACATATTTGGAAAGCTGAGAGTGTCCTCTTTCAGTTGATGCTACTCAGATGATGCATATTTTTACGCATGAGTGATTAAAAGCAATTTGAAGGAAGGAAACCAAAAAGACATTTGGCGGGCGGTATCTGAATTTCGAAGAAAAATTCACATTTCTAGAAAGTTGAGTTTCTGCCCTTTCATATGACACCTCAATCAGGAAAAATGAGCGAGGAATAACAAAGTTCTGTTTGTATCATTCATTAATTATGGTTGTGATTAAGTTATGATAAAACATCGATACTTCTCGGTTTCGTTTTTTCTGGGATGCACTGTATATGTTGGTGGTATGGAGTTGCAGCTTTTGAATAATTAAGTAATATTGACTGCCTTCAGGGCAATACAACGTATATTCCCAATCCCTACTGTGGCTAAGATTAGACTAAAAACCAAGAGGAAATAAACAATTTCCACGATGCTTCGTAATGTATGGGACTCAAAATCACCAGGTATCTTGAACTTGCACTTTTTCACATTTCAATGTTTACAGCACCAAGAAAATATTGTGAAAGCTGTTCAGATTCCATGATTTACGTCATATTCTTTTGTCTTCCTGTCTTTTCCTGCAGTTCTCTCAATTCTCCATTTGGTTCTGGTTTGATGACGCCGTCTGGGATCATTCTCAACAATGCAATGAATAGCTTTAACTGGGATGGGAAATACCAGACACCAACAGATACAGTTGTTCCCGAGGTAAGGGTTGCAGAATAGAATAAATTTGTAAAGTAGTTGTTGATGAATTTTAGTATGTTTACTGCTAAAAGTGGAGACAGCAATTGAAGAAATGGGTGAAGTGTTTGGACCAAACTTTCACAGGTAGTCCCATCTACATTTTTGTGTGTTCAGTACAAGCATGTGATATGACCTTCAGCAAGAATAATTAAATTTGTTATCGTTTTCATGATTCCAGACGGATCATTTCACAATGTAATCGTATGACCAGAACCCAGCTCTATCTTTTACAGGTTAAATATGCGATAGAATGATAGCCAGGAAAGTGTACTTTCTAACATTCTCATACACATTTTTACCCACAGGCTAACGCTATATCACCAGGACGTCGACCGATGTCCAACATGGCTCCGTTTTTCTCGTGGAGCGATGAGAACCTTTGCCTCGCACGCTATGCAATCAGTGGTATAGGACTAACATCCATCCAGTCGGCCCCGATAGACATGGCACTGAAGCTCCTATCGTCAAACGCATCGCTCCTGAATGACGTGGAGAGTGGGGACAGGGTGTTTCCTTCGCTCTATGAAAACCTAGTTGAAGTAGAAGGTGAGATGATGCCATTAACATACCTGCCAACCCTTACGAATAATCCGGAATATCTTGGAAGAAATTCATGTTTAAAGCTTGGGTGATTTTCTAGAAGTTTGTAATATTTACCTAAGTAAAATTATGCGAATTGTGATTAGAAATCTAAATCAAGACATGTCGTTGGGTAATGCCTTTGCCAAGCTGGCTGTGTACGCATATAGTTAAGAGAAATATTCATGCAAGCATCAAGTATAAGTGTTTATTCCCTTTAAGGAGGTGAGGGTAGCAATAGGGTTTTAAGTTAGGCTTAGAGGTATGGTTCACTGGTGGGCATAGTGTTGGGTCCTGGATTGAAGTTACTGATTTGAATAATGTATGTAATTGACCGGAGAGCAATTATCGTCAGAGCCTGTGTTGTGGAACCTTAATGATCTGTCATTGTTTTAATTCCTGGATTTCTCTGGCGTCCTCATTACATTAAGTATACTGACATATTGATTTGTATTTTTGTTCTCAATTTTTAAAATGCTCATAATAAACTGGATCATACAACAGAAACAACAACATTTATCATATGTTCTCTCCATTTATTTCCTCCTTTAGATGGCCTAAGTCCTGCGATACGGAAAGGTTTAGAGGAGTTGGGACATGTTCTTCAAACAAGTAGCTCTCGTCTAGGTGTTGTCAACGTCGCATCAGAAGCCAAAGATAAATTCACAGCTCATTCTGACAGCAGAAGATTAGGAGCCCAAGCGTCTGTCTTTTAACCTTTGCTAATGACTGTTTGTACTAATGACTGTTTGTACCAATGACTCGCTCACACAAAGCGCGCAAAATAGGCCGCCTCGTGGGTAGTATTCTAAATTGAATTATTTAGCTGGTGTATTGAAATAGCAGTGAAAATGTAACAATATATTTCATGACAGTAGTAAAAGATGAAAGGAAATTTAATTTATTACCTACTGAGCTTTCATTTCATATTTGCCAGAGATGGAAAAGTCGTAACTGCCGGATGTCTATACTTGTTTATAGATTTATTCTTTATTGTTGTTGTTTCAAAATGTGCTTATTTCTGATAGTCTTCATTTGTACAAAGCATAATTGATAATAAACAATAGTGGACACATTTTCAAAATACAAATTTTAACCATCACATCATGGTGACAATACGTGTATCAATTCTGAAAAGTATTGCTTTGAGCATATGTTATCTAAATGGGTTATTAGCAAAATCATTGAATTTATTGGTGAAATTGGGTACCGGTAACTATTTTCTTTCATTGAGATTTGATTTGAGATTGAAAAGGTTTTATTAATTGCACTTCGCAGCCAGATGGCTGAATTATGAACAATTTACATTGGCAATAAATTATAATACATACAAATGTGGTTTGACATTGTCACAGAGTATAATATACAGTGTATAACAAAATTCATAACAAAGTTCATAACTAATATGACTAAGGCAATAACAGGCAAATTAAGTCACGTTTAAAATATATTTTGTGAGGTGACACAAGAGTGGGTCAAAGGATGAGCAAGCAGGCCCTTTGCTCTTCAATACACGCTCTCATTCCTATACACACTCCTATTCTCACTCATGTACCTTGGACACTCTCATAAACACTCACATTTACACTCTTATACACACTCCCATGCACACTCCCATATACTAGCTAACAGTCTGCTCGCTCATCCTTGGACTTCTCTTGTGTCAAGGAGTGTCGGGTATTTAAAAAAAATAAACAACAAAACAAGTAAGCTCCTTCCTGACTTTCGTACATTGGGGAGAAAAAAGCAAATGAATTAAAAACTTGAACACCATCTGATCTGAATTGCCATGTCATGATTGCTACAAAGCCTTATCACTATTCAATGTACATTTTAAAAAGATGTTACAAGTAATTATGGAAGCATAAAATTTAAAATTTTAAATGCGGAATGTAAAATTGAGTACCAGTTAATTGAGTACTAGCTAAATGGGATCTATGCATCCGATTTGCATAATCAAAGCTGTGTGTGATTGTTCATTGTTGTTGCAATACAAAAAAGGAGAGAATCCCTAATATATAATTCACATTACACTATGGGGTATTACAAAAAAATGATATTTATCTTTATGGTACTACCCAAAAAGTTATGTATATTATCAGGGTTCAACTAATAAACTCTTCTTATACAATTTCCTTAAATATAGGGCAATTTAGAGAAAGCAGCGCCTGCTGAAGACACAAATGTTGCTTGCCAGAACGGAAAGAAAATATCTTTTCATTTGTTAAATTGTTATTTTGTTAAGAAATTACAAGGTATGTGTAAATCATATTGCCAACTGCCCACAAGGAATCCATGACTGCCATTGAAAATGCAATGAATCATGAATGCATAGCTGTTTACTGCTTGAAAGCTGGAACAATTGAAATTTGAGATCATCTTATTTCTTACCAATTAATTTAGGAATTCTGATTGTGTTGAAATCTGATAATACATGTATATATACATGGAGAGTCTGTGTATCATTTTATGCAATATGGTATACATGTATTTCTATCTGTTTATCTTTCTAAAGGTTCATTTTCAAGTCAAGTTGCTGAATTTCATGTTGCTGTTTTTTACGATTCATTCATATGTCATGTTTGTGTTTAGCCCTCATTCCAAACCCATCTATCCATTCCATATGAGAATGCTAGGGTTGTTTATTTTAATCAAACATGTCTTTCTGTTTGTTTTTTTTAATGCAGGATGGTAAAGTGTCCCCTACAGTGGTGTGATTATTATTATGTGAGGTGGGCAATATGCTATAACACTACCAATGTCTTATGAATGTTGTTTACGTTGATGATGAACAAAATAGAGTTTTATCCTGATGCAATGCTGGTATGCAATTCAACCATGTGCATTAGTAATCAAGTTATGGTATTCTGCTAGAGAAGCAAAGAACATCGGAAATATTCTGTGACAAAATAGAAATATATATAATTGATGTATATTATTTTTTAAGCATTGATTAGATGGTGCAATTGTGAAGGTAATATATAGTTTGCTGGCTCAAATTCTTAAAAGTCACTATGGGGTCTGAACGGCTTGTGCCTGAGACTACCCAAATAGGCTTATGTCACTATGAATATGATGGACAAAGAAATATGCATGTGACACCTGTTCTACACATTTTTACATAATAGCAGTGAAGGGATGTTTCTTTGTCTACCACAGCAATTGTTGAGGGTAGAATGAGGAACTGTATATTTTGTCCGCTTTCTTTGTCCGTCATGTTCATAGTGTGTACTGTAACCATTCAGGGACTGACAAAAGGTTACTGTGTACATACGAGCCTCCACAATAGGATTCTAATCGTGTTCATTATAATCACTTTTCTACTTCTTTGCTCGTATAGTTTGAGATCATTATACACCAAGATATAGACCTATGTCATAATGTATGGACAGCGAATTGAGATGATATTTATCCGTCTGTGCAATGGGAGTTGCATTATCTGGTGAATGGACACGGTGGCATTGTTTCATGAAAATCATCAAAAGTACAGGTTCCAAAACCTTGTCCTTAATTCCTCTAAATGCCTGATAAGCGGGCTCTTTGATGAAAGAACATATGAACAGCCTTTATGCCTCAAGTCACACCTTTGCATATTTAGCTTGCACATTGCTGCATATTTATGCAAGCCGTTTTAACATTTATTCCTTTTTCTTGATATAAAAAAATTAATTCCTGATATCAGGAAATGATTTTCTGTTGTAAAGCAATGGTAATTCTTTATATCAAGTATTTGATTTTTTTTTATATCAAGAACTCATTTCTCTATGTCAAGAATTTGATTTTTGATATCAAGAAATAGGAATAAATGTTAAAACGGCTTGCCATAAATATGCAGCAATATGCAAGCCAAATATGCAAAGGTGTGACTGAGGCATTAGACGGTTTCCTGAAACAATGCCCTTGATAAACACAATGGAGACTTATTTGTCTGCTGAGAGCCAGAAGGGCTTTGATTCTAGGTGTAACATGTTTGGTTAACACCCTTCTGGCTCTCAGTAGATGACTTTGATCATATCTTATTAGAATGTGGGAGTTTATGACCTTGTTATCCTTGATAACCACAGGGTAAACTTCTTAGTTTTTATTTGGAATTTCACTTTTCATTGTAAATTTTTTTTTTATGTTAGACACATTCCTTAGGTTAAAGCTTTCAATTTTGTATCATTTAATTTTATATGGAGAATCGTGAAATATTGTGATTACATTAAATTCAAGTGTCCATCCTTTCAGATCAATAACTTCTTTTTTATAAACTTACCAATAATTTATTTACAGTGTACCGGTAGTAATAATTAGTGTGTACCGATACTTATTATTACTTTTTATGTCATGAAGCTCTTCATATGAAAATGTTTTTGCATATAAATCTGTATTGCTATTCAATGTTTGCAATAACTGAATTGAATTATGGCTGAATGAAGATTGTTTTTTTTAATAACTTCACAGATGTTTTCATTAATCCAGATTTTATTCAATGAATTTGCATTTTAGTGTAGGACAACTATGTATTAGAAAATGGACAACATGACAATATTTTCTTGTCAGTTTTTATAAGAGTGACATAATTTACCAGAAAGCAGCATTTGTCAATGGTTATAAGTTTTTACTCTGGGATTTATTTTCATTTTGGGAGCGAAAGAAATAGAAATCGGAATTGCATACAAATATGATTGATCATTCCAAGTTACCATTGGTTATTTAAGTACTCTTACAATGCTTTCATTAATATTTTATGTTATCTGTTGATATGAGTAGAAGGCTTGACAATGTTATCAAAGTGTTCCGTTTTTGTTTTGTTCTGATACATTATTGTGTGAAGGCACAGATGGAGAAGAGTAGTTACAGTATATATCCTAAATTATTGAGGTTCTAGGGGTCCTAATATGGATTATTGTATTGGAATAGCTATTTATATGTTAATATTTGCAAATTTACTTACAAAATATATTGTAATTCCCTGGATGATGGAATTGGTAATAAACAATTTAAATGAATTGAATCGAGCTGTCTGCATTTTGGTTTCTATTTTTTGGTTTCAATTGCTGTATTTGGAACGTTCCATTGTGGTTGATTTTTGTATCAATTTACTTAGTCCCATCTTCTTCTTATCCTTCACATTCCACAATTAATATCTTTCCCTTTCTTTTCCCCCACTATTTTGTATTCTTATTCTATCTTGTTCTCCAAACCCAAGACTCATATACATTCCCACTACCTTTCTCCCCTCCCCCTTCTCCCATTTCCCCTCTCTCTCTCTCTCTCTCTCTCTTGTTCTCTCTCTCTCTCTTTATCTTTTTTTTCTTCTCTCTCTCTCTCTCTCTCTCTCTCTCTCTCTCTTTCTCTCCCATCTATGTGTCGCCCCCTTACTTTTTCTCCCTCTCCTGCCTACTCTCTCCCTTTCTACTTTTATGTTAAGGGGAATCCTATCTATAAAAATTGTAGATGTTTGACAGCTGTAAAAATTAAGTACATGATGAAAGTTTGAAGGATAATTATTTGAAAAATGATAAACTTTGATATTGACAAGACAATATATTTGAATGGGGAGCTCCTTATTTTGTTTTAAAATATGTATGTCATTAAGCTTGCCCCCTCTCCCACCCTCTTTTTGGCTCGCTTGCTTGCTTAGGAGTCAGTCAGGACTTGTTTAGACTTGTACCCACCCCACCCCAAGAATTCTGGATCCACCATTTTGTTGCTCGGTTTGATTAAACTTCTGGGTGAAATTTTAAAAAATACATGTAGCATGTCAATCTTAACAAAATATATCAAGAATTTTAAAAGACAGCTTGATAGTTTTATAAATATTGTCATTGTGTTATGAATTGTAATCTTGACCTAACATACTGTAGATACTTTGTTACTGAAGGTCATACCAATTTTATCCACGATTCATTCCAAACATAATTTTTATTCCAAATTATACAATATACTACTTGCTTTCTTTTCAATGGACAGATTTTTACAATAATTGTACCAAATTGTATAGCTTTCTCTCTTTCTCTCTCTCTCTCTCTCTCTCCATCCATCCATCTCTCAGCTTTCTCATCTCACGTAGGGATAGGCTTTTACGTTTTTGAAGTCATGTTAAAGAGCATAATAATTATTCCTTCTGCTTTCAAGAGAAATTACTTTTACATCATTTGCATTACCATTCAAGCCTCACATTATTCCTATCATTCACTGTTGTTGAACTTTGCATGTGGGGTAATATGTAAATAACTTGATGCAATATGATGTGTAACACTATTCAGAGTAGCAGATAAGGCTAATATGTATGATTATGCATGAACCAGAGAAATGCCTTCTTCAATCATACATGTTTTTCATATCTTTTGTAATCTTAGTCCGAAATAACAAGAATACAATTTATGAAGTTATGGGGAATATGTACTGAAAATATGAGCCGAGAGGCTGAAAACTTAGCTTTAGGACGCCATCTGCGGGCGGATGGTGTAGTATGATTTGTGTAACACACTCCGAGGCCGGTGTTTCGTAACGTTGATCGAATACGTTTTGCGTGTATTATTCATAATTAGAATGTGTACAAAGTGAATTAGAGTCCGTGCAAAGATCGAATGAGAACGACGTGAGGAAAATGGCTTTGTCAAGCAGAGGGGTTTCGTTTCTGAGGGCTGGAGTTGGTAAGAATGTTTTTGATTGCCGGTATTTATATAATCCTTGAAAAGTTAGCAGATTCATGAAGCACCAAATGTCTATTGAATATCTGCTAAGTTTTCATTGAAACAACTTTAGTTTTGGTGTTGTTGTTTGAGTCGACTGATTTCCTTCTGTGAGCTGTGCAGTTGATGTGATTGATAATTTGACTGGGAATGATACTAGATATGCTGATGAACAAGTTAATAAATTTGATTTTATCTTGTCAAAGTGATATAGCCTACATTTGAATCATGAGTTGTAGCTATTCCTTTGGTAGATGAACGTTAATTTATATTTATAATGATTGATCTAGATCTAACAAAAGTTAGACTCTAGTCTAGAATGATGATTAGATCCTGACCTAGACCGAATTTTCCGTCTCTTTCGTTCGTTAGCCTCTTATTGGGGTAGGGTCGGCTCTCTCTTTAGAGACGGAAACCGTCTATACACATTCCCTTGATAACGCCACGGCCATTTCAGGTCGTAGCGTTTTGCCCCCAAAATCCCCCAAAATGTCATTTTACCTCATGCATTGATTAGACCCCCTATTTAAAATTAGGAGAAGGTTATACTACATGTACATCGGTTCCACTTACCAACTTGACTGAAATAATCCGTTTAATGGTCCCTTTTAAGGAAATTATGGGTCAAAATCGACATCCATGTTGAAATCTTGCAAGCCGTGTTAAACTCTCGCTGCGCACGGAGTCATCTAAATCAATCTCATCCCTTTTAGTCTACGCCGAAGGCAAAACGATTATGAAGGAAAAACTGTGATAACGCCATTATTAACGTGTAGATGGCGCACAGTTTTTCTTTCCTGACCTAATCCTGACCTAGTTTATGTTATGATTCTAATTTCTAGTTTCTATGAACATGACGAACAGACAAACTTATGGGCGCTTGTTCACATCTGTGACCATTTTGGACCCCTGACTCCGGCGTGGAGATACCTTACTAAAGTTATAACACACCAAAAATCATTCAAATCTTCCACAAAATTGTTCAAATAACGGTCATGATTTCAAATTTGTTATCTTTCTCACCCGTTTTGTGTCAATTTTCTTACCTTTTTGGAGTATTGTTTCTAAATGCGAAGACATTAGTATACACATTCTCACAGGTTTCACGACAAACCGCTGCACAGTTACAAGTGGATATCTACAGTAGGCAGGGGTGTGAGCGCGGGTGCGTGGAGTTAGGGACCGACCGACCGTAATGATCATCAATTTAATGTGAATTACTTGCATGAATTTAATGAGGGTCTGAGCTTTCAAGTTACAGTTGCTGACTTCACACACAAATGGTTGTAGTTCTAAAATTAAATCAATGTTATTTCTTTTTTTCTTTTTTTCTTCTTCAAATGTAGGACGTCTGCAAACTCAGGCAACATGTAGTTTGGCTACATCATCTAGACACAATGCAAGTGCAGATAAAGTAAGTCACAAAATCAACATCACATTTGAGGGTTATTATCTGCTCTAGCTCATAGACAGTGGGCAAAAATTAGATAAAGCTATTCTATAATTTAATCCAGATTACTTATAGCTTTAGTGAACTACTTGAAGTAATATCTAAGTGTTTTTCTTTTATTAAGTTGCCGTATTTTTGAGTCCTTAACGTTGTCTTAAATAATTTTCTTCAAGTGCCTTGTAAACTTGAATATACATGTTATGTTTCATTTGCATTTGTCAGATATTATGAATTTGGATCTACAATGTAGATTGAATGCTTTGTAAGTCATAGGTATTGGATTCTCTCTGACCTATTCTTGAACCCTGTTTCTTTTTTCATTTATAATAATCTTGTTTGATTATCATTACAGAATGAGTCCCTCAAGGATGAAGATAGGATATTTACCAATCTGTATGGCAGACATGACTGGAAGCTGAAGGGAGCTATGGCCAGGGTAAGTGACTTTTAGTGACTGTTAGCAACTTTCATGTATAAACACCTCACCTAAAAATAACATAATTAAATACAATGGCAGTTTCCAAAGGGTTATTAATTCAAGATATATGCAAGATTTTGAGACTTTAAAAAAGATGTTTCTTTTGAAGAACACAAAATTATTTCAAAATTTTGAGAGAAATGACATGATGAGATGTGTTTTATGCAATACAGTATTCAGAATTTGTGTGTACTGCTTAAAGATAAACTTGAGTTCTGGTAATGCGATTGCATTGTGAAAGAAAAGGTGTGGAATGGATCAGAAAAGTTGATCATATAGCATGTAAGTAATGGTGTGTAATACAAGGTTCTGGAGTCATCAAAATCATCATAAATTTGGCAGAGTCTTGTAAAGTAACAATCACTTACACAGAAAGATGTATATGGGACAACACACATGGTGTCGGGGCTAGTACTACCCTGATTTCCTTATCTTTCTATGCTCATTACTCAGCCAGTATACATTTTCTTCCAAGATGGTTTGGCACATGACATTTATTTGTAATCTTGAACATTCAATGTAAGTTTCATTAGATTCTGTGAGAATTCATTTTCTTTTTTTACCAGAACTCAAGTTTATCTTTAAATATGTCAGAATTTGTGTGTACTGCTTAAATATGTAATACAGGGCCCTGTCTTACAAAAAGTCTGATATCAATCGCAATCTATTTGTGATTGATATCAATCGCAACTATGTACATAAGAGATAAGAGACTGCAAACTTGGGATTGGTTGGAGGACTTGCGATTGATTTGGATCAATCGGAACTCTTTGTAAGACGGGGCCCAGATTTCATACTCCATCTTTGTTGACTTACAGGGAGACTGGTACAAGACCAAGGAGATTCTATTGAAAGGACATGATTGGATATTGAAGGAGATCAGAGACTCTGGTCTCCGAGGGAGAGGCGGTGCAGGTTTCCCTACCGGTATGAAGTGGGGCTTCATGAACAAGCCCTCAGATGGAAGGTAATGATCACATATTTGGGTTCCATTCTTGAATAGGACAGCCAGTGTGTTTGCATTTGCATTGCCTTGTATACTGACTTGTCTTTTTCCAGGTTTGGTGTTATACCTGTATCTCTGGTGTTTACTTTCAGGCAAACATTTATTGATAGTGTTACAATGAGTAGCCTTCTCATTTCTACATTTTGTAATACAGTTATTACATGCAAGATCTCACGTGATGAACATTTGTGGTTTCTCATGTCATGTTGCGAACGACCCTTAACCCTATGTTAACTGGGGGGGGGGGGTCAATTTGACCCCCCCCCTGTAGAAATTTCGCGACTACTCCAAAACCGCGGCAGATTTAAAATTTTCCTTTCATGACTTTTTAATTTCGAGTCTTACGCATCTTTTAAAACGATTTTTTCGAAAATCGGACCTACGGTTACAAAGTCACGTGACCTTTTGTATTCGCATGTCAGCCCGAAAATCGCTCATTTTCGTGATTTGTGTACAAAACATATGTAAAAGTCATTTTTCCTAAAAATAGATAAAACATTGGTTATTCAGTCTTATTTAAAGTTTAGATGTTTGTTTTGGGGTCAAAATAGTTGAATTGTAGTTATAAATGAAATAAAACAACAAAAACAATAAAATACATAAATTAAAAAAACAATGAAATACATAAGAAATTATAAAAACAAGAGATAACATAAGGAATAACCTGGCTCTTCCAATTGTTTGTGTTTTATTATTATTCCAAATGGTCTAATAAATATATGTAGTGAAAAAGAATACGTAAACATGAATAATCTATGATTGATGGGCAGAAATGTGAATTTGATGACCTTATTTGCATAAATTACCATAAATATGAAAATGAATGAATTTTTCAAAAATTTGAAATTACCATAGTATTCTATACACTTCACTTGACATGCATGCAAATTTTTGCGGCGATCGGCGGTGAAACGGCCGAAATCTTAGGGGGGGGGGGGGGGTCAAATTGACCCCCCCTCAGTAAAAACCTGGTCTGAAATAGCCCAGTTAAAATAGGGTTAATAACTACAATTTCACTCCCACAGTCAAATATTTGATATTTCATCACCTTTTAAGTTAAAGCCCCATTGCACTACTTGTAGCTACATGTACCTGCTCCCTCTATATAGAAAACAATGCCTAAGCGATTCCCGTTTGTCCCCCATGATCCTCTTTTTCTTATGTTATTTGAGAGCTGAGTTGATGAGATAATCACCTGCCAGTGACCTTGCAGGGTGGTGTAATTCCTCCTGGTGACCCGGCCAAACTAGTGCAGACCGGCTTTAGCCCATTGCCTGATTTAAAGTGCTTCCTGTAAAGTAGGTGGAAATAAAAGAATTCAGTAGTCGTAGAGTTAATACAAATTCGCCTTTGAAGAAGAATTTGGACAGAAAAAGATGCATAGACTTGTATTGCAATTGTTTTCTCCACAGACCTAAGTACCTGGTAGTGAATGCAGATGAAGGGGAACCAGGCACCTGTAAAGACAGAGAGATCATGAGGCATGATCCTCACAAGCTGGTAGAGGGCTGTCTGGTTGCTGGCAGAGCCATGGGAGCTAGGGCAGGTAAGGATATATCATATCGGGACCAGGGGGGGGGGGGGGGGAATGAAAGATCTGGGGGATGTTTCACAAAGATCCTAATTTGAACCTATCTCTAAGTTGGAGTTAACAATTCATGGCATCCATGAAAATATTTTGTAAAAGTTATTTTAAAAGGCATAAAATGTTCAAATCATTAATATTTTCTATTGCCAACAAGGATTTCATGTTCTCGATATGGAATTTTTTAAAAAGTCAAAAACACTTTTCGCTTTTGAATATATTTTATTTTAAGGCTACAAATGGCTACATTACATAATGTGTAAGACTAACTTAGAGTTAAGTTCAATTTAAGATCTTTGTGAAACACCACCTGGGCTGGGGGCGATCTGCCCCTTAATTCTTTAAAAGGCAATCTTTATTGAAAAAGTAGATGGGTTGTGATGCGTAATATCCCTGAACACAAAAGTGTGACTAAAAAATATCCCTCGTCTACGACATTGTAATTTTTTTTGCCCAGTAGTCAGGAGATCATACAATATTTACAATGCTATCTCTGTAGAAATTTGTGTAGATCAAGAAGTTCTTCACAAACTATTATTCTGATTAAAGTTCATTATTTGAGAAGTTGCGATCCTTGCTACAACTTAGCCAGGAATGTCTAATAAATTATGGTTTAGGTTTAAATCCCCACCACATTTGATAGATTATGTTCTAGAGGTAAAAGTGAAATAAGTATAGATCTGCAAAGAAAACAACTAAACTTAAATTGTAAACCTATTATGTAACATCATTAATACTTGATTATTCTATTTCTATTTTATTTATAGCTTATATCTACATCCGTGGAGAGTTCTACAATGAAGCCTCTAACATGCAGCTTGCAATCAAAGAGGTATATCTTGTGTTCCAATTCTTTAAACAAATCTTTTGATCATAGCACATGCTTGTAAAGATTCAGTTGTAGATTTAGATACATGTGGGTAATGCTGCGAACTGTTTCCATAACTTTGGCTTTCAACTGTAATTAGTATTTTTAAATGTTCCTTTGCACATCCCTGTACATGAATTCAAACCAATTTCAGAGTCATATCTAGTTGAGTAGAGCAATTGCAAATATTTTGAATAGTGTGCAGATATTCCTCTAATCAGGCACTTTGAGTATATATACCAATATATTATGAACTTATGAACGGGCGTTGTAGCGTGCGCCTGTAATCTAGCCTATAATGGAAGTTACAAACTGATTCAGCTGAGGACGCAGGTTCGAAACTGAGTCACGTCTTTCGGATGGTGACGTTAAAAGGTGGTCCCCAGACGTAAATAATCATATCTAATCGATACACTTGTAAGCCCATTCCTGAATGTATTCTTAGATTGCTCCAGAAAGCATTGACTAAACAAATCAAAAACAAATCAGAGAGAAACTGGACAGAGTAGTCCAATTCAATGATAACCTGTCTGTAACCTGTGTTTGGTTATAATAATTATAATAATAATAGGTCTTGTTTACCCAGGGCAGCCTCATCAATATTTGTATTGTCCTCTCTGAGGGCCCTGCAATCACATCATTGATTCTGCATTGATTTGCTTATTTTGTCTTTGCAGGCCAATGAAGCAGGTTACCTGGGAAAGCATTGAGTAAAATCAAAATAGAAAACCCAGAGAGAAACTGGACAGAGCAGTCCAATTGAATGATTTCCTGTCTGTAACCTGTGTTTGGTTATAATAATAATATGTCTTGTTTACCCAGGGTAGCCTCATCAGTATTCATACTGTTCATTTATTTGGTTATTGCGTCTTTGCAGGCCTATGAAGCAGGTTACCTGGGAAAGAATGCCTGTGGGTCAGGGTATGACTTTGATGTCTACATGCACAGGGGTGCCGGAGCATACATCTGTGGAGAGGAGACTGTAAGTTGCATTCAGATCTTGAATTTTGAAAGACAGTACATGCTTTTCTTTTTATTTGCATTCTTGGTTTTGAGTCGACCAGAATTAGTGCTATGGTATATTTGTACAAATTTTATCCAGGGAATTGTAGTGTTTGTTGAAATGCAGTGGAGTATGGAGCCCCTCGTTATTCAAACTCTTTCGAAAGACAGAAATTACCTCCATATGAGAATCCTTGTAATATCATGGCTAGAAAACAATAGTACACATTACCTTGATAAAAGTAGAATTCGTTTCAATAGCGTTCTCTTTCAATGAGGTTCCAAAGTACAGTGATATGATTTGTGAAGTATGCACATTAAATAAAACCTATCCAATAATATGCTATTGAATACATGGATTTCTTGATGTAAACTCTTTATTTGATAACATTCAGTTTAATATGAGATAATGGATTATGCATGCACATTATGAGTTAGTTGTTAAATACTGCACAAAATCTTGATCGCTGCTTCAGTACCTGACAATGGAATAAAGTATTCACATACACCTACACACTAGGTTCTGTTCAGTTTGTTGATTGCTTCAGAGGTACACGATGACATTCTAGGTTCACAGAAAGTATGTTACTCTCTACACTTACTTTCATGAGATTTTTTGTGTGAATATTTTTATGAATTTCCCAGGCCCTGATTGAGAGTCTCGAGGGCAAGCAGGGCAAACCCCGTCTCAAGCCTCCTTTCCCCGCTGATGTCGGTGTCTTCGGTTGCCCTACCACTGTAGCTAATGTTGAGACAGTCGCTGTTGCACCAGTAAGTACAAGGTCAACAAACTCTATGAACACACACATAAAAAAATGATGATAAGAGAGAGAAGACCACTGTGATGTATGCTAACTCAATTTTGCAGTGAATTAAACTTTTAATCAAATTGTTGAAATAAATGTTATCTCTGCTATATTGTAGTTATTAGTGATGGAAATTTGTAGCTAATGTAGAAACAGTCGCTGTTGCACCAGTAATTCCAAGGTCAACAAACTTTTTAAATAGACACACGCAACACACAAAAAAGATGAGAGAGAGAGAGAGAGAGAGAGTGAGGTGACTACCTTGACATGCTTACTCCATTATGAAGTGAATTACGGTAAACTTTTAATCAAACTATTGAAGTACATGAGACTTGACAACGGTGAGGTATGCTTACTCTATTCTGCAATGAATTCAACTTTTAATCAAACTGTTGAAGTATATTGATGCCTGTTCCTAAATTAAGGATTTGGTGATTATCGTAGACATTGTATTTTAAATCGAGGAAAATTATAATTTTTAACATGAGAATTGATGGTGTTTTGATCAAAATTATGCTGATGACGAATAGTTGCATTTGTGAATATGCATAATAAGCATACCTAATCCTGTCAATAAAGCATCTTTGTAGGAACTTTGAGAATTCGCAATCTCTGTTTCTTCCCTGTTTTACCAACTTTCAGATCATCTGCAGGAGGGGAGCTCCGTGGTTCGCTGGCTTTGGACGCGAACGCAACCAGGGCACCAAACTGTTCAACATCTCAGGGAATGTTAACACCCCCTGCACCGTGGAGGAGTCCATGTCTATCCCCCTCAAGGTCCTGATTGAGAAACACGCCGGCGGTGTAGAGGGGGGCTGGGATAACCTCCTAGCTGTCATCCCAGGGGGTTCGTCTACCCCTATGATCCCTAAAGAGTGAGTATGAAAGCCCCACTGCACTACTTATAGCTACTTCCGCCCTCTATATAGCAAACAATGCCTAATTGGTAACCATTGGTCCCCCACGATCCCCTTTTTCTTATGTTGATTGAGAGCTTATTCGATGAGATAACAACCTATCAGTGAACCATGCAGGGCGGTCTAATCCCTCCTGGCCAAACTAGTGCAGATATGCTTTAACATCCAATGTGAACAATGTTAACATTATTAAAATTGTATGTGTAAGTTTGTTGGGGGGGGGGATAACATCCTCGGGTTCCTTCTAAGTTCTTATCCATAGTCAGTAATTAGGTTCTATTTCCACACACCTGCATTGTTGGAGAGACCACATTTCTCCCCTTGAGAAGCAAAATAGAGTGTAGAGCGGGACTGGATAACCTCCTGGTGTTATTCTAGGGGGTTCATCTACCCCTCTTATCCCTGAAAAATGATTTTTTTTTTTTTTTTATATTCAATGTGAACCCACCCTCGTCTGTGAAGGAAATCATCTTAGCACCCAAATTATATAAAAAATCTAATCTTGGTGCAGTAAATTTCTTTTAGTTTGTTAAAATGATGAACTGTATGTAGACTTGAGGCTACGAGATATCTGTCAGTGGCACTCAACGATATGATAATCACCATTATTATCTATATAAGGCTTCCAAGTGGTACAATAAATCAGTGTATTTAATATCTTTAGCACAGTACCCGGATGACTGCTCAATATTATTTTTATATTGCTCGGTCATCCGGGAAGTTCAACTGTCGATATCGATTTCACACTAAAACAAAGCCTGTATTTCGCTAGTCAGCCTGATAAAGATAATAATAATAATAATATTGTATGGCTTTGTTTTTGTGTGATACAAGAATGTGTTTCTCTCGCTATGAAAATATTAGACTCGTCTTTGCCTCGTCCAATATTTTCATATAGCTTGAGCAATATATTCTTGTATCATACTGAAAGTCGTCCAATATTATATAAATACCTCAGTGCAGTTATCTGACAATCGCTTGTCCTGATTTCTTTCTACCCAGTGTGTGTGATGATGTCCTGATGGACTTTGATGCCCTGGTGGCCGCCCAGACTGGTCTCGGTACCGCTGCTGTCATTGTGATGAACAAGCAGGCTGATGTCATCCGATGCATCGCTAGGCTCATGGAGTTCTACCAGCATGAGAGCTGTGGACAGGTATGTATGTGCAAGATATAAAACTGTTTATTGAATGAAATGAGGGAACAATGAGGAAGTTGCTGTGCTTTCAAGGCAGTGAAGCTGATACAATTGTCCAAAACATGAAAGTGAAATCATTGGAGAAAGCTCTTCTTGTTCAATCATTACTTCAGAACATTTTATGAATACAAATGTCTGTATTCAGGCCTTTTCAGGGTAATTTTATTGATGATGTTTCATCAAGATATTTAATTGGCACATTTTGTAATGCTAACTATGTATTATTGTAACTAGACGAGGGATGTGTATATAATTTGTGGTTTACATAGTATTACGTCATTATATTTTAGTGCACACCATGCAGAGAAGGGACTGGCTGGATGACAAAGATCACCAACAGGTTTGGTAAGTGTTACATCATAGTGTAAATGATAGTCTCAACTTGATAAAAAGCTGATCCACTTCTCTCTTGTAATGATGGCAATAACAATAGCATTGCCGATGATTGTGATGATGATGATGATGATAATAGTTGTGATGTGGATAGTGAAGCTAATGAGAATGATGATAGTGCTGGTTCAGATGGTGATGAGGATTATGGTCAACTGTTAATGGTGATGTTAATTGCTTGTAGGTATAGTGTTAATCATTTACGTCATGAAAACATAAATTAAAGATGCCAACTTAAAGGCACACTGCCATACTTGTAGCTACTTGCTCCCTCTATATAGAAAACTTCCCCAATCGGTGCCTGTTGGTCCCCCATGATCCTCTTTTTCTTATGTTAAATGAGAGCTGAGTTAATGAGATAGCCACCTGTCACAGTGACCTCGATGGCTCTCTGTGTGGTCTAATCCATTCTGGCCCAGTAGTGGTGACGGTCTTTAAATGCAAATGGTTTTACATCCTCAGACCCACCTCATGTAATATTTGTTATGTTTACTATTACAGTTGAAGGCAATGCCAAGCCAGACGAGATCGATATGTTGTATGAGCTGAGCAAGCAGATTGAGGGCCATACTATCTGTGCTCTAGGAGATGGTGCAGCATGGCCTGTACAGGTAAGAATCCTCTGAAATTGGCAGAGTTAACAAGTAAAAAATGTGTCCTGTACCTATATAATACCACAGTCACACCGTCATACCCGCACCAAACAGACCAATAGAGTATCCCTGAAGGATGATAATATATTATACAATGTATTGTCGGTCTGCAGTCAATTTTGTCTCTGCAAATTTCATTTAAAGAAACATGATTCGAAAAATGATGGATGCCTGGGAAATTTGACTTTCGTAGTTGGGCTTTGTTTGGCAATTATCACTTTAATTGTTATGTAATTTTATTTTGTTTTGTTCAGCTCAGATTAAAGGCGTTATACATTTTATTTTTGGGATGATCCATCTTTGAAAGTTAATATTTGAAAAAGCATGATTTTCACAACAACTCATGTTGAAATCATTTCAACATTATTTCTTTATTTGTTATACTGGTACCTTTATTTCATTCCAAAAATATTCGGATGAAATTATTAGTTTATAAGAATTCCATATGACCATTCTGTATCCTTATTACTTTCATCTTTTCAACCAGGGTCTTATCCGTCACTTCCGTCCGGAGCTAGAAGCGAGGATGAAGAAGTTCCACGAGGGCAAGCAAAAGGCATCAGCCACAGCATAAGGTCTACTGTCGCACCAAAGCATTTATTACCCTACCAAAAAAATCTATTGAAAGCATAGAGGTTAAGTCCCTACATGCTGTGATTGCATGATATAGAGATGTTTTCAATAGATGTTTTCAATATTAGGACATGTTGGAAATGGCTTGTATCTTTGGTTATTCATGTTTTGACAGGGGAGACAGGGAATGGAGGGGGGGGGGGGGGGGGGGGGGGGGAGGGGAGGGCTGGGTTGATGGAAAAGAGAATTATTTAATTCAACTGTTCAGGTTTTTATCATACCCATATTTATCACATCTCCATGGTTGATGAATTTAATAGTGCAAATAGATCAAACACTTCATACATACTTGTAAAAAGATTGTGGAATCTGTTATTCTTATCATTCTATCATTAATATCTTTCTGAAAGAAACAGTAGCCTTTCTATTCAATCCGTATATTTTCTGAATGAAAGACTAGAAACTGTTCAAACCTAGGGAATCACATAAGCATCTTGCTTTCTCCAATCTAATATCATTTCTCCCGTAGTCATTATAAGATGACTAATGGTCATAAAGCTGGAAAAAGGAGAGGTCTGTGTAAAATATGATGTTTTCATACAGATTTATTTGATTGCAAAACTTTGTCTGGAACATCGTCTCAACTGTGGATAACAGAAGAGAGTAAGTTTCCTGAAAGTAAACTGAATGAAATGAATTTGTGTAATTGAGACACAATTAATGCACCATTATCATGTACATATTTTAATAGAGCCATTGCACGTTTGCTGTCTTATTCTGGGTTTGAAGACATTTACTTATATTATTATTGTATAGAAATGAAAAACGACCTGTGAACTGGACAGGTGTAATAAAGTGAATATCGTTCAAAACAAGAAAAGTTAAAGTGTGTCTCATATTCGGTACAAGACCTGAAAATAAATACCTGGGCCCTGTCTTACAAAGAGTTAGGACTGATCCAAATCAATCGCAAGTCCTCCAATCAATCGCAAGTCCTCCAATCGATCACAAGTCCTCCAATCGATCGCAGGTTTGCAGTCTCCATCTCTTATGTATATAGTTGTGATTGATATCAACTCTTTGTAAGACGGGGCCCAGGTATTTGAATACGATTGTCAAATCATACAGAGAATGAGAGGAGAGAAAGTGGAGAGAAGTAGAACATAGTTTAGGAAAAGGATTAGGCAGAGAAATTTAGTATAGAAAGAAGAAAAGGGATAGAAATACATGAAGTAAAAATGGCTTATAAAAGATGGAGAGACAGAGAGGGAATGAGATGAATAAAGAGGGGACACAGAGAGAGAGAGAGAGAGAGAGAGAGAGGGGGAAGAGAAAGAGATGAGATGAAGGCAGAGTAAACAAGAGAATGAGGTGAAGATGTACTGTTACGAGATAGGAAAGAGAAAATGAGAAAGATGTCAGTAATTTTCAGCTCTGGTAATGAAAGCTGATAAATCTAAATAAAAATTAAGTGCCTCAGACAAGCATTGTGTAATGACTACTGGGTCTAGCCAAGGATTTGGTCTATTCGTACCTGCTCTGCTTTGACAATTTTTTCAATTAAACAAACAAAAATGTAAACCTAAGTTTCAACAAATGAACTTGGAAACAAAGTCAGCATCATACATTGTATTTGCTCCTTTAATATCACATGATAATTTTAATACTTTTTATATACAGATAAATCACACAAATCTGAGGCAGTTTTTACAAGTCCATGTGCTATCTTTGGGGATCACTGAGCATGATTGAAAGGATTTAAAAGACGTGTTCCTTCTTACAATCCCCGATATCTTTCTGTGAATGAAATAAATTACAAACTGGATTAATTAGTAGGCTATGCTAGGTTATACAAGTCAAACCTATTTTGTCCACACTCTCAAACTTCATGACATACACAAAGGAAATTTGGAGTACAATACTAAACTGGTATCGCTGCATTTTTGGTTGTTCAAGATTGTACAGCATGATCTTTTTGTTACACATCTAATCATTATCAAAGAAAATATGAGCAAAATGATGCACACCAAATACGATTTATAAATGCTAATCCATGTGTTCAATAAGTCAAAATTGAATTAGGATTTCAACAGAATGAAATTCAGATTTCTCAATCATGATATTGATTCTTTTGTGTGTGTGTGTCTGATATCTTTTTTACAAATCACTGCACCATCCTACCATTAACAATGTCTAATGAAACTGAAATTCGATGGAAATCAATAAAAAACTGTAGTATGAGCAGATTAATTCCTATGATAATAAATTGAGGAACGATAAAAGGGCCTACCGACACAAAATGAAATTACCTTCCAGTAATTTTAATTTAACTGGCACGCATAACAGAAAAACCATAGATTCATCCAACATGCCCAGTCTATCGACATATAAAAAGGAAAATCATCTGACGGGAAGCCTGGAAGGTGAGTTAATGCGCTTCTGGTTAATATAATTAACAGCATCATCCCTATTTATTAAGTCGTTTTCTATGTTTGACTCATTTCCTGCTTCAGTATTTCATAGCCTTGAAAATATTTGTAAGCCCTACATTAAACTACCGGTACCATACAGAAACATAAGATCTATAACTGATACATTGTACATGTACAGTGTATTTCAGTTTGTGCCACATAGATGAATGGAATTACGGCTGAAATTTAAAACATGATAGCACATACAGTAATGCCAGTATACAAGGGTTCTCGTTCAGTTTGACAACCACAAGTGATATACAGCATGTGTCACACAGAGATTCAAACACAGATGACTCTCCTAAGAAAGCTTTGCGAAATGTAGTGGCACACAAACGCAATTTGCACAATTGTTGAAAATCATAATTGTTATCACACAGAGGTAGAACCACATAATTAGGATATGGACCTGGTAAATGCATCATATCAATGAGGCTTAATCTTAGCTAAACCTTCATTCACATATATGTCAAAAATGAACTTTTATTCAGCAACCATCACAAACTATGATGCATTGTGGATTCCAGGGGAGTGTTTCACAAAGACTAAGATCAAATTTAAGTTGGACTTAACTATGGCAGGCCATTCATGCCACTCTTTGCTCTCACCATTTACTAGTATTGGTCTCTCAAGGGACGTACAAATCATGGTCACACATCTACAGAATTCAGCTTTTTTGATAGATCATTATTGAAGGAAAAAATATTATCTAAAGATCATAATTGACAGACCAATGGTGCGAGCAACCAGTGGCATGAATGGCCTGCAAAATTTAAGTCCAACTTAAAGTCGACTCTAAGTCTTTGTGAAACACTCCCCTGATGCATCTTTTCATGCCACTATATTGTTGCTAAGCCACCTAAGGCAACACTAGTCAAGCAATTTAGCTTTGCACAAGTTGCAATCACAGCAGGACCAAAAAGGGGGGGGGGGGGGATGCGATTACTACATCAGTTCACTTGTTCGTGTCCTTTGACTTTGAGTCATACGTCCTCATTTTGAGAATGACATTTTCTTGCATATTAAGCCGTGCTCTTGTCCTCCACAAGTCCATATACACCCACATCAGGCATCCATTTTCCCCTCTGTTTATCCCACAGTGGGTATCCTTCTCAAGTATCTCCTCCACGCCACTGAAAAGTTTCAACTCTTTCTCGTAGGGACGCTCGACTACATATTCCCTGAGTTTCTTCTCCGCTTTCAATCTGGTGTCTTTGTACCTGAAGGGACTGCAGTAGATATCCTGGCGTTCTTCAAGCATGTTGGATATTGCATCTAGATCTCGATTGATCTGAATATGTTTTTGGTATTGCTGTCGCTGGGTGGTGGTGATATGACCTTGAAAGCTTTCAATCTCCTGTTGTAACCTCCTGATTTCAGCTTGCAAAGACGCGATCCTGTCGTCTGGATCAGCACGATGCCCTCTCATAATTTTCCAGCCTGGAAATAAAATAAAGAATACCAATCATATGAAGATCATATAGGGCTTATTTTATCTATAATGTCTTTAAATCTTTTATACATGTAGGTATAGATATTAAATGTGTGGAAAGTATCAGTAGATTGCTAAGTTCACCAAATTGGCAAATATTTACCTCAATTTTTAGATAAAAATTGATATGCTTCAATGAAAGAAACTACATTGTAGGCCTTAAAGATGAAGTTGAGTTCTGGTCATGCGATTGCATTGTGAAAGAAACAGTGTGGAACCGACCAAAAAAGGTTGATCATTTAGCATATAAGAATTTGTGTGTATTGCAAGGTTCTGGAATCATCAAATTGATAAGAAATTTGGCCAAGTCTTGGTAAAGTTACAAACACTGTACACAGAAAGATGTATATGGGACTACACGAACACGTGGCGTAAAAAGCCGCCCCCCCCCCCCCCCGATTTTTACGATGTTACATGCATATTTAGATTGTGAAGGCATTTAAAGAACCATGCTTTTCAGGGAACATGTCTTATCTGATGTTCTTCCACACTTGCATAATGAGAATGAGTAATGCTCACAAATTATTTTTCACCTCTTCCCAGAACTCAACCTTCTCTTTAAAGTATAAATAACTTTTAAAACAGAGGTTTAAATCTAATACATCTCATGTAGAGAAAATAATCTTAGAATATAAATATTTCATTCCTTGGTCGCACAGGGCATTCAGTTTTTTTTAAAGCCCTTGCCTGTACAGTGTTGCTAATCCATAATATAAAGCAATTTGAAAGAAATTATTACTATGAAATATAATTTTTCTTGAAAAAAGGATTGTTACTAAATTGCCATTCTTGGTATCTAATGCCAAGCATGACTTAGATTTGGTTGAATGTCAGCATATATTGTTGCCCTGGGTAACTGGGAAAGAGGGCAAGTGGTTTTGTGGTACTTTGACATAGATCTCATTTACAATCAAATCAGTACATGAATATAATAGGCCACCAACAGAAATGATAAAACTACCGGTAGCCTACTTTGGTCAAAGTGACCTTTTAGACAGATCCTACAATGCATACCGTAAACTCTGATTTTCCTAGAAAGTGGAAAAGGTTACTACAGGTAGGCTATGTTTGTTGATAAGTTTGACCCTAACAGGGGCATCATGGGCACATTAAATTAAGAACATAGTCTGATGTAAAATTATAAATAAGTGAAGAAAATCTCACTCAGAAAGGCTGGAATGACGTAAGGAACTGCATAAGGTAGGAAGACATCTCGCACTAGCCTGCTGATCTTTGCCTGCCAGGTCTCAGGCGCATCAGGCAAGATATTCAGATCATTCATAATGTTCATCGTCCTTTACCTGCTATATGCCCTGTGGAATATTTAGGGGAAAAATAAGACAAAAAGAGACATTTGAATGCAAGTCTTTACTGACACATCAGTCAAAATAGTTGGCAATACATGTATAAACGATATGTGATATTAAAAAAAATGCTATTGCACAGGGATCACCATTTCTTTGAAATATAAACTTAAGCTCAATTTTCAAGGTTTTTATATTTGGCAAGGGGGGGGGGTGTGCCTTGTTTGGGGAAGGGTAGACTTTTGGTCATGCTTTCACTTGATTTGCCTAGCTGTCTCCATTTCACTGAAGGATTAAACATTCATGCATCAAAATGATTGATACTAGGTCTATAGTCTCAGTTTTTTGGTTGAAATAGATTTGACCGCAAAATCAGCCCATTTCGTTAGGTTAGGGGATATCATATGTCCCGCTGAAACGATGTCTACATGGCTTCACCTAATCCCTCCCTCGCTTGGAGAGCATCAAAACACAAAATATGTTTAAAAACTCCTCCAATTACATGTATGTAGTTCACAGTCTAGAATCTGGATCTCAAAATACTGGAGTGTAGTATTACTTATACTAATAGTCTAGTACAACTTCATGCGAACTCATAGATCTGTTTATATTTACAATTACATACATTTATTACACAACCATGATGACAAGTCTATGACTAGTATTATAAGTATGAGTATGACTCTGGATATATTTCTAAAGTTATTCATTTGAGCTCAGAACTAACTAAACTAGAATCTAGGTCTAGTTGAATCTTTTTCCTGGAAGTTCTGTAAGGGCTTGACCCAATTTCATAACTGTATTGGTGCAGTGCATTCCAGTGCAGTATAAGTAGGCCTAGCTGACAGCAGTAGATGTAGAATTGTTTTCAAATCATGCAATTCGGAACAGAACACAGTGACAACTGTTTTGGAACTGATCATTTAGCAAATTGCGAAAGAAGTAGACCCATACTAAAAGATATTGAATTTGAAAGATGGCTTTAATAGCTGCTTACAAAGTCAAATGCAAGTAAAAATTGCTCATATCAGCATGGTCAGGCTGCTTAGGCAGGCGTCGGACATCTCATTTAGATAGCAAGTCAAGTCAAGTGGTGCAACTGATGATGCGCTCAGCTCGGGCGCTTGGAGCTGGAGCTGGACGGGTACGGGTGATGATGTCATGCATTGAGCGATCTTTACCCACGAACTGTCAGCTGCATTCCGCCCGCAACTCCTGGCTCAATCATCCACAAGCTACTCTATCCGGCCGTGCTTTGTAATGTCGAGGTACCGTACGTTCGTGCAAAGGTTACGAAAATCACTTCCGTATTAGCTGGTAAAGACGACGGTAGAGAGATTTCATGACAGAGATTTTGATTAGTCAATAGTTCACCGAGACTATCTTTTAGACCAATCAAAATAAGCGTTCTGAATACAGTCGGCAGTGAACCTTGGGCTTAGTCTTTTATTAGCCCTTTAAAGCATTTCAATTATATGATTCTGTTGCATTTCCTCCAAAATCAAGATGAATATAATTTATTTGTATGGAATTGTTACAAAACTACAAATTATATCATTATAAAGAGAACCATAATGCCTAAAATGTATATATGAATCAGCAAATCTCAATGAAAAATTACAAAAAGGTATGGAAATGCGACTAGATAAGCACCAATTTCCGAGTGTACACATTAATATACATGTAGAGAATGCTAGCTCCAGCCGGAGGATTCTAGAAAGAAGAAGAAGCTACGAGGAGAAACTGCTAGATTACGTAAACACTGACGACGTATATAATAAATTGGTTCGATTTGCTTAACATGTAGAGTCTACAACGGATTATCAGAAAGGAGTATATAATGGATCAACGCGATGGTCAGAAACCACAAAATATTCGCCCGATTACCATCGACGATCCGCTTCCGAAAAATTGGGAAATGTTGACCGACCCGGGGACAGGTTGGTTGTTTTTCGTCAACCATGCAGCCCGTGCTACAACTTGGGAAGACCCAAGAGATGCACATAATAATGTGAGGACAAGTTATGGCAGTAATGGAACACACTCTCCAGCTGGCTCTGATGTGCAGGTATGTTTTCCCTCTTTTTGGGGGTTCTTTTTTTTTCTTCATCTTCCAACTCTCATTGACTTTGCTGAACTGTGACATTGCATTGCCTGGTAGCTGTCCTGCTTTGGCTGGGACCCCTTTGCCTGGCTTGCCTTGCCCTGGCCCTTGGCTTTGTTTTGCCTTTTGTCATGTTGTTGTCATCCACATTATCTATTTTCATCAAAATTTATCATTGTTATCTTTTTTTGAATTTTATCATCATTAAACCTTTATTAATCTGCCATTTATTTCTCCAGACAGAAAAATCTGTCTAGAGTCTACTTGGTCTTGGAGAAGTATTAGTTATTACAACAACAACAAAAAACATTAAGAAAACATAATTTGTGTTGTTTAATACTGTTGATGCTCTCCTCCTAATCATATTCCTAGGACAGGAGAGGGATTTGATGAAACCGAATTGATATAATGAAGTCTCAGCTGAAAATATCCCCAAAACAAAACAGATGATTTTTGGTCTAGTAATCTCTTCAAACAGTCATAAATTTATCAATAGCAATCATGCAATTCGTAAATTGTTTTTAGATCTAGATTGATTTAGAAAGTTTGTTTTTGTCTTTTTCAGTTGGTACTATTGTTATTGTTATTACTATGAACATGTACACTGTATGTACAGTTTGATTATGTATTTAATTCAAGTACAACACCAATTCCTCTATTAAAATGCTTCTCATATAGATCCTAGAATATTTACATGTACATACCAGTTACCAGCAATAGGCTAATGTGTGACAGGACATGACAGGAGGCGAATTAGCTCAGTCGGTAAAGTGTCTGCCTGTTGAACCAAAGATCTCAGGTTCGAATCTCACCCAGGCGGATGACTGAAGCCTGCGTTGTGTGTAGTGTGTTAAAGTGCCCCTCCCTTTGTTTCACAAGTACGTAGCCAGGATTTCATTTTAGGGGGGGCGGTAGTGAGCGCTTAAGCGCGCATAGCGCGCTCTGTAGGGGGGTGGGTGCAGGGAGGGGGGAGTTTCCCCCCTCCCGTGCGAAGCGCGGAAGCTTTGAAAGAAGACGATTCTTGTACCTTTCTCGACTCATAATCCTTGTCTGAATTCAGTCCGCCCCTCATGCGCATAGCGCGGAAGCTTTGACGTATTATTAGACAAAGAAGATGATTCGTTGTACCTTTCTACCCTTAATCCTTATCTGAATTCAGTTTCCTCCCCTCCCGCCCAAAGCGCGGAAACTTTGAAGTTTCATTAAATTATTAGAGAAAGAAGACGACTCGAAGTACCGTTCTCGACTCTTAATCCTTGTCTGAATTCAGTCCCCCCCCCTCCTCCTGCGCGAAGCTTTGACGTATTATTAGACAAAGAAGACGATTCGTCAGTGTACCTTTTCCGACCCTTAATCCTTATCTGTATTCAGTCCCCCTCTTTCGAAGCGCGGAAGCTTTGAAGTTTCATTAAATTATTAGAGAAAGAAGACAATTCGTTGTTCGTTCTCGACTCTTAATCCTTAATTTGAACTCAATTTCCCCCTTTAAGCGCGAAGCGCGAAAGCTTTGACGTTTTATCAAATTATTAGAGAAAGAAGACGATTCGTTGTACCGTTCTCGACTCCTTTTCCCTTTTTCTTCCTACGTCCTCTTCCTTTTTTTCTTCTCTTTCTCTCTCTTTTTTTTTTCTGGCCGGCGTTTTTTGGGGGGGGCGACCGCCCCCACCGCCCCCCCTGGCTACGCGCATGTTGTTTCATACATGTAGATGCAGGCTGTGTTAATTGAAAACACTGTCCTTCGGATAGGATGTTAAATGGAGGCCCCCGTGTACAATAGAGTCACCACCTTTGCACGTTAAGAACCCACTGCATTATTATATAAGAGTAGGGGGAGAACCCAGTGTAGTGGTCCACCTGCACACCCCAGTAACCTTGGCGTTATATCCTGACTTATGGATCCTGTCAAGTATCGATGTAGAAGTAGAAGTTGGTAATTCAGACAGAGCTTTTCAGACCGCTGAAACAATTTCAAAAGTTTCAAAATGTATGTTGCTATATTACTATTAGTAGTATTAATAATTTGATGCATATTTTTCATAGAATCAAGCGATACACAAATCAGCTACATTTTTTTGGACAACCAACATGTACCCCTCCACCCCCCATTTTGTTTGAAAAATAGGTTCTGGTTAGTTTAGGCAGATTTTCTAAGAAGTTGAGAGATTTTGCATAATGACAGGTATGTTTTTTTTATTCCAAGGCCTACATGTAGGTCATACTAATAAACTACTTTATATTAAGTATACCAAGATCCATTTTACCCTGGAAACTTGTTCTAATTATATTCAAGATTAAGATTTATAAATTGATTCCCCTGCTGGGCTGCACAATGTTCCACGACAAATGTGAACTTTGATCCACCAGATAAAAGTTTTTCTTAATTATTTTAGATACATGTAGTAGAAGTATTTGTAAATCTACACATGTACATGTAATTCATAAGGAAGAAACAAAAGTTGAATTTCTTTTGTTTATTTGTTTACTTTTATTCATTTTTCATGGGGGGGGGGGGTGGGGGAGGGGTGATCCTTGCCTTGGCAATCTTCCTGTCTACCTTTGGTCACCTGTAACCTTCATTAATCCATGTGCAAAACTGCAAGGGCCTTGTAAATCAAATGATAGAAAGAGAAAATGAGTTTAAATTTTATCCAATTCACACTTAAAACTTTTCTATGTCTAGTACTTAGCCTTATAAATCAAACATTATTTATACCATGAAACCTCTCAACCTTTAAAAAAAAAATGTAGACAACAAAAGATTTAGGAATCAACTGATTTGCCTGACTGTAGACAGCCTAATGAGGTGTGAAATTGAAGGTACAGTGAAATTACCCTTTTGTTATTGTTTACCCACCCAGTACATAAATGTACATATTAAAACTATAAAAGAGCCTTAAATTGCAATTGTGTATTAGTATGCAAAAAAAAAAGGACTCTGTGGCCTGTAGCCAAGACATCAACATTTTTGTAGGTCACCTCTGACTTTTGGTGTGTGTATGTACTGTACATGTACCGGTATGTGATGCTGTTTCACATACATTTACATGTACATAGTGTACATTCATTTAGAAACATTGTCATGCATTTTTTTCTTTTGAGGGGGGAAGGGGGTAGGTGGTATTCTCTTGTATTTAGTACACTGTAATTACAAAATGTAGGGATGTTCTGTACAGTATGTGATAAGACTGGGATGTACAGATGTATGGAATATTCAGAGATAGTGACTGTTCCAGTGATGCATGTCCCACTGTGCCCACACACCCCTTAGACATTGTACAATGTACGTAGGTGGGTGTGTGACCACAGCCCTTCTCACTATAGAAACTCTGTAGTACGGTGTAGCCTATCAGCCCCACCCACCCCTATGACTCTGTACAGTATATGGGTAAATTGGGTATGTTCACAAAATTGACCCAAATAATCCTATTTAGTGTAAGTACCTGTACTACAGTGCATTGGTTACACTGTATAAGTTACATGTACAGTTTTTTTAAAACAAATTCAGTTATGTTTACATACAGGCCCATGCTGACTGGTCATGCATGGGAGAATTTTATAAACTTGTCTTACACTTCTAGGCCTACAATGCATAATGTACCATGGAGCTATTGTTCTCTTAATAGCTCCATACATTGAACATGAACTGTACATTGTCCATGTACATGTATGTGTATGGTGTACTGTATGAGTGGGTGCCCTTTTGGTCATGCCTGTGTATACTATCTACATTTACGTAGCACATATATATAGAAACCCATCTATTGAATTATAATCGACCATGCTGGCTGGAGGTGTCACAATTCATACAACGCAAACACTATTCTCCTGTTCTGCTACACGCTGAGGTGAAAAATATGTGTGTACCGAGGCAATTAAAGAGAAACTATTTTGACCTTTGTACAGGGCTCAACACAAGATATTTTTTCCTGTGGTCCGAAACCATTATAGTATTCATTCAGGGTCCAATAACAAAAAGGCCTCTCAAACTGTTCATGCAACAGGCTGGCTACACACAAGTGAGACTATACATGTACGTACAACTGAAGAACTAATATCATATTACACAGGGCTAACAAATATTTGGGGGGGCAATTTGAAAAAAAAGAATATGTGAATAGAAGAGACAATACAGCCTAGATGTGCGTGTACATGTGCACTGTGCAGTATACACCGCTAGGCAACATACATACTGGTAGTAGGTACATTGTACATGTATGATGTAGGGCTGCGACGAGTAGTCGAATGCTCGAGTACCCGCGCTGTTGACAACTACTTGAGTACAATTTTTCTTACCCAAATATTCGGCCGCTGGCATGGTACCGTCGGTTAAAATGTTTTCCAACTCAAGCACTGTCAAACTCACCACTCAGAAACTGGGACCAAATGTCCGGATTTCTGTTTGGACTCAGAGGAAAATGGATTATTTTTCCATCTTTGGTTTTTAAAACAGCATTGTTTACTGTTATTATTATTATTAAATCGGCCCGTTCAACTGCAACTCGAAGTAAAATTACATGCGTTTTCGGCGACGGAACTGGGATACTGCTCCAGTGGTATGGTGGTGGCAAAAAAACAAAATAAAAAAATTCAAAAAAATTCAAAAAAATTATAAAAAAACATGGCGTCCGAATATTCGAGTTTTCGATTGTAAGCCTGGGACTCCTGGGAGTGTACTTGGGTACCTCATTACACTGTTATGCACAGCCTTAGTATGATGTATACATTATACATGTAGTGTATAAACATTTGTTCAGATTTTGTTGATGATTCAATTTAATTCAATTCAATTCAATTTGATTTCGGTTTATTAATATCAACATATACAATGTACTACTGTATGCACTGATGCACTTAGTCCAAGGACCAGAAATGCAATGTTTACATAAAATGTGCAAATGATCATATACATGTAGTCATGTACCCTGTACATGTACAATTAAAATGATAAAAAATAAAGTTGTTCATACCTCAAGTATATTGTGCTAAATGTTAGTAAATGATAGTAGATGGATGAACACTTCAGATAAGTTTATGTACCTTAATTAATTATAATAGGCCTACATACAGGTGTACAATTTATATTGATGCTAGTGCTAGAAGCAACCTAAGTTTTAAATCTCTTGCTATACCAAAGTACCCCATTATTTCTGCCAGTTTAGATTTTTAGGTTGTACATAATGCTCAAAACTAAAGTTTGATCAGATCAGAATTTATACTAAAGTTTTTATCTTTAAAATTACATCCAAGGATGATGCAGCCTGTCCAAATGAAATTTTGTTTTAATGCTGTAAGACAAATGTCACGTATAGTTAATAGGGGCATACAAAGTCAAACGAACAGCCCCCTCACTGAAAATGTAGTCCCGGGTTGTAGAATGCAGTGTGAATTGTGAAGTAATCAAATTAAGAGTTAGTAGGTTATGGTAATGTACAAAGCATACAATCCGGCATTACATTACATGAGCAGTGTATTACCAGTACACTCATTAATTTTTGTATAATTCATTTGAGACATGTTCAGGCCTACAATGTAGTTTCCACCATTTTTCAAGTTAAACAGATGTCATTTGATGCAGATTGCATTAATTTTAATTTTCATATTCATGACTAAAGGACTATTTCTCTTGTCCACTGTAGGGTCTACATTACAGAACATAATTACATCTTACATCAGTGAACAAGTATTATACTATCATTGAGCACAGGGAAAACATGGTCAGCTATCTTAAAACTTGATGACAACTTTCACTACTCAATACTGTACAAGGCCCACACTGTTACATGTGTACTGTGTAGTACTCTAGGTACCTTGCAAAGTTGTTGACATAATGGGTATTGATGACGTTCATCATGCCATTGCCCATCTTCAAGTTGTCTGTCTGTTGTAGACTACCTATCAGTACCATCTCCTTTTCACATATCCTGTGAAGTGATGACCCTGACATTTGTCTCATACCGCTATGCCCCTCCCTCTCGGTTTAGTCCCACCCCTTTCTCCTTGCGTTGCTAAATTGATTCCCCTTCCGGGCTTCCTGTTTTGGGGACAGATTTAGCCAGGTGGAAGCGCCATGGGCCTGTCACATGAGCAAAACACCAAGATCAAACGCTCCCCAGGGACTTAATTTTGTTTTGAAGAAAGGTATGGAACTAGAAGGAAGCTGTAGTCTTGGGACTTGAATCCTGAAAATGTAGGATGTAATTGAAATATTAAAAAAAGCATAAACGATTGTAATGCAGTGGGCCTACATTTGTGCATGTATACATATTTCAAATATGAATAAATATTTTTGAAAAACATCTATGTACTGCATGTTAGAGTTGTATACTTCTTGCTTTGAACTTTAAAAAACAAGTAAATTTACAGTAAGTATTCGCATTGCATATTCCGCGTACATGTTCACCTGTATTCCTATATATAGCAGTGGATGCATAATATTTCGCTTAAAACTTCAAGTATCCCAAACAAGCAGGATAAAAGAAAATTATTGAACATTGATAGTCAACACCTGGTGAAAATCAACGATACAATGTACATTACATGTACTGTACATACTGAGAGGAAACCATTTTTACTATTTAGGAAACTTACTCTGACACTCTTTTGCTTCACTGCATAGATTTTGTATGCAATACTTTTCAATGCACTGACAGTTTTGTTTACCAAATGGAAAGAACCAGGCAAGTTTGAAAGCCAGCATCAATAGAGCTTGTTCATAAAACTATATGCATGAAATATGTTCTGAAAAAGATTGGATTGCAGATTTGTAAAGCAAACCTTGAAAGGCTTTTATTTAGGAACCTTTCATACATTGTCAATGCCAAATGAATTACTGATCAAGGTGACATGGATTAAAGTTTGTGAATAAAAGGCGCTTTTGATGCTTTTTTAATGAAATTTTGCGGTAAACAACATGTCAAAGGGATACGGCAGTGACAATGATTTGCGTAGCTACAAAGACATTGTACACTGTAGAGTTAAATTCTAAAAAAATGTCTGACTCTGAAACCTACCTTGTATGTTTTTAAAGTTTGTTTAATTTCAATTGTGACGGTATTTGTAATAAGCAATCTAAATGTTCGGTACATGTACAGTACATGAATTTATACAGTATCTTGAACACATTAACAATTACAGTGTACATTTACACTTTACAGTACATGTACAAATGCATTTCCCTACTTCTGGCAAGAATTCAGCATTGCGCACACAAAAGTTATGCCAAATTCAGAGCTCCTTGATAGAGTAGAAAGAAAATATAGTTAGGTAAAGAGCCTTGTGCATAATGTCTCCATTAGAACATATCAACTTAAATCATAATGGCTTACAATGCACTGCGCACCTCCATCCATGTACTGAGGCAAAAATAGCCTTGGCCAGGAAAGGACTATAATGATTCAGTAATTTAGTGTCCTAGGAAGTCTGTTTGCGTAGACTAGAGGCGTCGTTGCCAAACCTGTTTTGGCAGGAAGCGCCGTAGATTACAGCACAACCTTGCGCTTATTAAGACTTGGCGTTTTTAAGTTCATGTCAGTTTTGAAGTTTGCAGCGTTGGAACATCATATGCGTACAGTGTTTTGGACCTGTCAGGTTCTCTGTCTTTGTGTGGCAAACTTCTATACTTACATTGCCTGGACCTAGGCTAGAGAAAGTCTTGAAAATTGGTTTGAACAAATACTGTTCACTGCAGGTCTTTTTATTTTGACGTCGTGATTCATGTAGAGTTCTGGATATATTTTGTTTCTCATGAGGATCCTCGGCTCAAGTACTCAGCAGTTTTTGGTGTGTATATGATCAAACTATCATTTCAAACCAGTTGAAAAGATATTTTCAGTTGTAAATTTGTGCATGACAGGTTTATTGTACACTGTTCAAAACTTGAAAATCATACAAATTAACCAGGGAATGAATTTTGGAAGAACAACTTTGTCAGCAAATTATTTCTTTTTCTCAACACACCTTGCAGATAAGATAAAGCCCTTCAAAACTACTCTCTAGGGTTCTGCCATCCTGTTTCCTTTAATTTGTCTCATGGTGTAAAACAACATTTACAGGCCAATTAATGTGAAGACAAAAACTTCAGTGTGCATAACGGTGAATTGTTTATTTTATATTCTTTATTGAAATTTGTATATGTGTACTTCATTTTCTCTTCTTTGTCTACTTGAGATTTTAGCCAACCTTATTTTATTGTTGTTGTAAAAAGAGAAGTTCTTTTTATTTTTTATGAATGATTAATTTGATTTTTTTTTCAAACTTTTTGTCTTTCAGCCTGTGAATGACGGTTCCTTTGCCAATATGTACGTCCAGTCAGCTCCCCACCACTCTCATCAAACTCCTACAAGCCAACAGCAGTACTACTGGCAGAACCGCCCCGTGAATGTAGAGCATGGAGGGAGTGCAAGCCCCAAGAACCACCATCGGGAGTTCCCCATCGTGGATGGCAAGTTTGTCAACCAGAGCATGGTGAGTCCACAGAGCAACCGTAGAATGGGTTCTGCTACTTCCATGATCCAGAGGCCAGTCACCATGCACAGTCCGCGCCAGAGCCGAAGAGGAGCTCCTCTGCAGCAGTCTGGGAGTGTCCTGCAGCGAGGTGGAGCAGTCAGGTCCAATGCAAGACCGATGCCACCCCAGCAGCAGCACACCTCACACGCAGTACCACACCTGCAACAACAGCAGAGCAATGGCAGACCCAATGGGAGTCAAACATATACTGTTCCGATCCACGTGCAGCAGCAGCACGATGGATCCTCCTCTGGAAGCAGCAGTCCAGAGCTTAGGAGCGGCATGACCAACTCCATGAGGAATTTCAATGGTCACCAGACCCCGATCTCTATACCCATTCAGGTGCTACGTGGTGGGAGCAACCAACATAGTGATTTTCCTCATGTACCACCCCCTGTTCCTCCCTACCCTCATGAGAGTCTGATTAATCAGAGGGCATACCAGGCTAATCATCAAGTCCCGTCCCACACTGGTGCCAAACAGCAACCGTCACCAACTGTTGGATCGCCTCAGCTACCCAATGTCATTGTCTCCGGAGATCTTCCTCAGTTCACTGAAGATGGTTTATCATCGTCATCAAGCCCAGAGCGTCAATCCCAGAGCCAGGCACCATCGAGGGGAGCAGGACAGACAAGAACAGCTTTCCGCGGTGCCCCTCGTAAAGCGCAGTCCCCACCCAGGACTTCACCGGCAACGCAGCACAAGACTACTAAGACAGCATCGTCAAAGACCATTGACGTCAACTCAAAGCCAGCTAGCGAAAAAGAGGATGCATCCTCGCAGCATCCAAAGGAACTAAGGGAAATATTTGAAATCATGACCTTCATCGCCAAGTTGGGAAACGAGGCGGATAGCTTTAACGGTTCTAAGTCCGACCCAGGGTATCTGAAACTGGAAGAACTCCTCACACGCCAAGTACTCCGTCTGGACAATATTGATGCCCATGGAGATGCCTCTGTACGGAATGAACGCAAGAAAGCTGTGCACAAAGCCCAGGGATATCTGGACTATTTGGAAAGGAAATGCAGTGGTAGAAGATAGCCTATAGAACCCTTACCATCATCATTGTGAATGTAAATATATTTTGACATTGTACATGTGTAAAACTGTAAATTTGGTAGCTAGTGCAGGTCAAATTTATTCTTCGAGTTCCTCGTCAGATTACTGGGCATTTAGGACAGTCTTTAGAATGAACTAAACGATGACAATGATCTCATTGTTTATGATGAGTTTATCTCAGTCTTAATATTATATGATTTAAAGTCGGAAAGAAACCTATGTACAAACTAGAATGGATGCAATGTGTGCTAGTAGATTGCATGCCAGCTTGCTAAGGTATTCTTACTTTTCTATTATTCTCTCCTATTGACTCATGAAAATGACACAACCCTCTTGGCCTGTGTGTTGTTGCTATTTTGACTAGTATAAACACACTACACGTTTGCCAAATAATAGACTGCCGTGAGTGTTTTCACAAGATAGTCATGTCACAGGTATTAGAACCTGAATGATCCACGCTGCCTTAAAGTTCTATGTACATGTAACTGCCAAGGACAGATTATGCTGTGTAGTAGAACGTGTGTATTCATATTTCATAAAGCAAGCTATTTATTTATTTCACTCTTGCTCAATGAACACAAGCTAAAAAAAGGGGATGCAGATTTTTTAAAAATCCATACCCTTATTGTTGACTCTAAAAGTTGAAGTTCACGGTTTTCATTGTACAATATTTATGAATCGGATGCTTCTATTTGGGGGTACTGGACGTAAAATGTTAGCACAACTTTTGTTAATGCAAATTGAATAATGTGGCATAGAGGGTACTTGTACGGTATATTTAGATATAAATGTATGTATAATCTATTTCAAGTTTTTATTTTGCCATAAAGAATGAGAAATGTCAATTAATTTATTTTAATCATTCATTCATCTTCCTCCAGAAGTATTCTATAAATTTGAATTTTTGAATTGTTTTCCGTCAAAATTAGGAATGTTTTGGACTGTATTCAAAGATCAAAGTCACAAAATAACAAAAGGATGTGTATTCAATTGATGCAATGCCTCATTCAATATGTTTATCTTTGAAAAGATGATTAAGTGTTCTTTCAAATAATGTAATTTCTAAATAGGATCTTCCGATCTTATTTCTTTTCATGTACATGTAGATGTACATACATGTACATTCTAAATTGGGCAACCACTTACATGTAAACTGGTAGACAGCAATTGGCAAAGATTACAAGTAGTACATGTATATATGATTATCCTTAGTCATCATATTCATTAAAAGTGTATTCATATTAGCATTTTATTTCATTCTATTATGATGATGCTACAGTTCACTTGTAATTGGGTATGTAACATACTGTACATTAGGAAATAATAATAAAAACGTATGTGCTAGCATGAGTGAATGGTCAAGCTACACAGAGGAAATAATTCATCACAGTAATTTAACCCCACCAAAGGGGTTAACAAGCTAATCATGTTTTTTGTAATGTATCCTGACACTTCTGTCGGTCAAGAGGTCGTCTTCAGAAGCATATGACCCCAATATTCATCAATTAAAAGATTAACCATCCCCTTTATAGATGAAGCTGTGGATTAGTGCTGCTAAGGGTATACTTCCACTCTTCCTGTTTTTGGTAGACATGCTAATTGCCTTTCTAATATCCGATACCATGATAAACAGTTTCACGTACATGTACAGGGTGTATGTCATTTATTGGTACTGCCATTTTCAATTCACATGAAAGAAAACAACAACAAAAACATGCTAATTGCCTTTCTAATGTCCGATATGATCGTGATAAACAGTTTCACGTACATGTAGGTATGTCATTTATTGGTACTGCAATTTTCAATTCACATGAAAGAAATCAACAACAAAGAAATTAGCAACAAATATCTAGTAGTAGTCTTATATCCAAACCCTGACTTTCAAATAGTGTACCAGTATTTGTAACTGAGGCATCATGAAGTTGCAAGATATCATTGATGTTGAAGCCACTTTTTATCCACTCTGCGTTGATAGTACATGTGTTCATGTTAGACTAGTTCATGTAATGTATTTTATTAAATCTTTGTTGTTGTTGTTTTGGTTAAGGAACAAAGATGTCAAAAGTGATATACCTGTAGTTGTGTGCTTATCAAGTACAGGTAAATTTACCATCAATTGAAGCAGAAAGGCTCTTCATGATTTGCATAAGACATTTGTCAGAGACTCAGAGGTAACACAAATCTTAGAACTTGCTGGTTGTTCAGAAAATATTATTACTGTAAATTGCATGACTCGCATGCAGTCATGTATGGTACAAAAATACACATGTACATGTATAACATGTTATTTTGAATGTGCAGTAAACGAGCCTAAAATCAAATACATTAATTGGTTGTATGTTTTGAACTAAACAAATAGTAGTGCAATGACGTAAATGAGAATTTAATGTTTCCATTTGATGTGTCTTTGACAGGATAAAAGCTGCGAAGCCCCTGGGTGCTTTCATAGAATTCATTGAATCAATACGACAATCCTAATGTGTTATTCATGAAATAGGGTTTGTTTGGGAGGTAAATTGAATGATTATTATCTTAAAAAGACTGTTGTTTGACTAGTTGTAAACATGTTTTGTTCTGTCTTTCACTATTCTGTATAGGTCACATGACTCCTCCCCCCCCCCCCCACCTCATTTTTTTTTGCTTCCTGTGTTTGTTATTGTCAGTACCGTAGTTTTAACTCTGTATTAAAATAGAAATACAGCTAAACAGCACTTGAACATTATTCTTTTCTGGCAGCGGCTATTTCTAACTGAATGACAGCGCTCATTTATTATGTCTGAGTCGATACATCCACTTTTATTTAATATGTCTTCATTGGCTTGATTCTAGCAGTAAGAAGTTGCCAAAGAAAATAAAGACACTCTGACCTATATAATTTTCATTTTGTAATGATAGCTACGTTATGATCATGGATGTATAATTTTGTAAGAGTGGAAATAAAATATTTTATATATCAAATAATGATAATGGCTCTTGATTATGATGTTATGGGGATCACTCAAAGGAAAAAAGAAGTCATTTTGATTGTATTAATAAATGTTTTTATGAAAGACGTCATTTCTATAAACATACAATGAAACATGATACATTGTATTAGTCTAAATCAAGGCCAATTGTCTGTAAAGTTTATTTGACATTTCATTTGTGACCCTATTTTTACTTTTCATGTCAATCTGTTTACTCTGTATGCTGCTGAATGCACAAAGAATATGCTGTAAGGTCTGAAAAGGTTAATCTTGATTTCTGGTTATTTTCAAAAGTAAAGAGTAATCATCACAAAATCCAACAAAACCTACACAGCACGTGTATTTATCAAGACTCCAAGTAAATGATGTACATGTATGTGTTTTTAAAGCCAGATTCTCTCAAAATACAAATCCACTACCAGAACGATAGATTAGCTTGACTAAAATGCAAAGTGATGATTCCTTTTTTTAGGAGCCAGAAGGGCGTTAGTTCCTATACCGGTACTTTAACACAGAGTTTATGCCCTTCTGGCTCTCAACAGATGATTAGTACATGGATGTGTATACCGGTACACAGGGAATACAAATATTCAGCAATCAATATACACTTATGACATTTAAAAATCAGGCAGGGACTCGGTAATGAGTAGTAGTTTCACACTGTGTTGAGTATGTGGGTCATTGGTGTGTGCCTTTCATAACTACAAAACTGTACCCAAGCGAAATGTACATGTATTCATTATTCTGGCCAGTGCTTTTGTTGTTTGTCAAAACAAGTGATACAGAAAGTCATTGTCAATCACCAATATTCAGGGCTATTATTATCTTTAACTATTCAGTGATAACAGCATACTGTATGCAGGACCAGAAAATGCAACTTACATGTAATTTATGTAGTACTTTGATATTAACTTAAAGAGAAGAGAGATCTATTTTAGAATGTACATCTAATGACTCTGCAAATGTGTTCCATTAGACTTTCAGCTACATGTAGCTTACATGAAATTACTTACGAGAGTGAATCATCATTTTACTAAATGCAAGTGGACGAACAGTGACACACAACTTGGATTTTGTGTGCCCACGTAATCTAAAATGATTGAACGTGGGAAAATTCACACGGGTGTTGGTCAGTTCACATAACCAGCCTGTTTTCTCAGTTGCTTTCTTTATATTGCTATACAAGTAATTGTTGCAAAATGCCCCCATTCACATTTTCCTTGAAGTATTGAGACCATCATTACTGTCACCCATATGGCCCTAAGACATGAGACCTAGAGAGATAGATACAGTAGATAGAATGAACCCCAAAGCCTTCGTATATTCAATACTGAAATCTGTATTTGATTTATCCAACATATTGGTGAAACTGTGTAAGACATGTACATGACGATTATTCCTGTATGCTGTACCCCTGCTGATATTAAGCTGCACTATATTTTAAAGAGTAGAGCACAACCCCTTTTTCAATGCTTAACCTGTACAAGCAGTGTGGAATTGTGATGTCCATGTTGAAAACGTTTTCTGGTTATGCATTGTGTTCTTGCAAAGTGTGAAGGCCATACATAATAGAATGCTAAAAACAGACTTACAAATTTAGTAGTGCAGACAAATATGTATGTTTATGAAATGTACACACAATCATATGCACATGTTTGACACTCATATCTATTTATTTTTATGAGGACTATTTGTGCACATGTGTAAAAATGAAAAAGAATCTGTGTCTTTTGGCACAACCAATTTGATTGTATAGTGTGAATATTTATTTTGTGGGATATAGACTATATATAAAGTGTACTTTCAAATAAAATTGCTATTAAATGAAATGAAATACATAATTATCGCTGTTGGAAACTTTGTTTTGTATCCTGTTCTTTGGATCTTTCAACTTGGAACTGTAACATCCATTACCATTACACATTTACACAAGTTACACCTGCTACATCCATAATTAACAACTAAATTATTCATACCGTTACCAAGTTTTGTAATTTTTTTAATTACGTCAAAAATGATTCGTCCCATTTTACGGTTCTTAATAATGTGTTAAAGCTTACATCTAAAAGTATTCATCAAACTTTTAATTTTTTTGTTACGAAAAACACACGAAAAAAGCACATCAAGTTTACAATGGGTATGAATAATGAAGTTGTTAACAGTACGGTTTCTACCTGTACTTTAAGTGCAGGTGAAATGATATTTGAACAGGAAAGTGAAATTTGCGGGACAGGAGAATCGAAAATGAAACACTGAACAGTATTAATGGAAGGCAGTGTTTATGTTTTAGGAGAGAGAGAGAGAGAGAGAGAGAGAGAGAGAGAGAGAGAGAGAGATGGAGGGAGAAAGTAGATGGAGAAAGATGCTGGAAGGCTGGGGGGGGGGGTGATTTAAAAAACAACAACGGGAGTTTACTCAAAAGAAGAAAACACGTGACAAGTGCAGCACAAGTTTTCTTTTCTTTAGATCTTCAAACAAGATTAGCCGAAATATTCATAGATAGTGATCTACAAAACCCTATTTTTAACTTTACATTACTCTTACTGTGGCAACATTTCCTAAACCTGCCACCCGACAAAGAAAACATCAGGCCTAGAAACGTCAAGGGAAATTTCCGACAAGAATTTGAGATGTTCCGAAGCATTTTCCTCTGTACATAATTTTAAATACCCTGGATTCCTAAACACGTTATTCTCCCGAAAGAGCTTTCAAGTCATAAAGATGATAAGCGCTCATTTTACAGATATTATCATAGATAAAAAGAAGTCCTGAAGTTATCGTGCCAACTTATCGGATCATTTTGGGGAAATCGGTTGACTGACCCAGAATTCTTAAACTCTCTTACCGATGACTTTGTGCAGACGGCCATGCAGACATCTATTCTGAGGTTGTTTATGAAAAACGGAGAGGAAATCGTTAAAAATAATCAGGAAAAATATATTAACCGAGGTCAGCTTCGCCAAAATGATAGGAAGGAAGTGAGAAAGAGAGAGAGAAGGGGGGGGGGGGGAGAGAGAGAGAGAGAGAACAAGGGGGTAGCTGTGAGATGATCAAATATGGTTTTATTGTCTGTTCTCATTGCTACAAAACTAAACTAACAAATCCAAATTCCTTCTACCTTTCTAAGCAACGATTAAAAACTTTTTTTTTTATATAAATAACTTATATATAATGCTTTCTTCTTTCTCCTCGTATATGCATTAGCGACGACTTTGAGAAGTGCTAGGATTCTAAAAGTCAGCAACTGTTTGGCGAGTTCTGATCTTGAGTGCCATTGGCGAAAAACAAATAGACAAAGAAGGGGTGCTCAAGCCCCTCTGCATGGCCCCTCTTTTTTTTAGCCCTGTTTTGATTGGTTTTAAAAGGGGCAAATGGATATTTAGAATCACGCTATATCATTTCCCCTAACTGTTAAATACATTTTTTTTTAAACATTCTTTTTTTTTTTAGGTCATGTCATCAGCGCTTTGTTTCTGGGCTTATGTTACAAGACTACATCTTTTGTCGGTCTAGAAATAGCAAACCCAAAAGTAGTCCAGGAACACTTTTATTTTAGGCACATTGCCGAGCATCGGAAAAAATACACAAGTAGGAAGTGTCATCGTGCCTGGCTACACGTTTGATGTGTTCAACTTTGTTTCCATAAGGTCTTATAGGCAAGTAGTGAGATTTCACAAACAAAATTAAACGGTCATGAAATTTATGTTTGGAAAAACTGCTGAAAATAACGAATTATTCTATTCTTATTTCTATTATTCTATAAACGATTAGTACAGTAGTTATTTAGAATCTTGTTACCAATTTCTCCTTTGCGCCCACCGTGTACTTTATGATACCATATAAATTAGTTCCAAATAATCATAAAAATCATCAAGAACCGCGCGGTTGCCTCGTGCCGAAACTTGTACTTATTTCAGTAATACCACAAACGATGTAGGCCTGTTCCAATTTGGATAAAAACTACAAAATTATGGGGGGGGGGGGGGTGAAAAATCTCTAAGGATTCCACACGATTGCAAAGTTAACCTATGACAATCTGATAATATACTGTGCGATAATGACAGGATAGCATAATATTACTTAATCCGAAGATTTCTTGAGGCAATTTACCGCCCTTAGTTCTTGAAAGTCTTTGCGATCACGTTATATATTTATTCATAATGATCCTATAATATCAGACAATGCTCGGTATTGTTCATGTACACAATTATTTTTCCCGAAACTGGACTTAATCCCTTCTGGGAGCGACACCGTCCGTATCCTCCCGCAAGCCCGTGATTAATAGCGGATTATCTTTCCCTCCAGCATTATAGTGCACATTTTAATCGCGGGTGGAGGAAGAGTGTGGCGGCTAATTTTAGCGCGACGCCTATCCTGACTGGGTAGGGTCTCCAAGGCCGAAAGCAGATTTGGAAATGTCAAAGCTCTTGCGTACCATACTTGCGAACATGTGTCATCATCATTTGGTGCAGTTTTGTGTGCGTGTGTGTGTGCGTGTTTTTTTCTTTTAAGAGTGTCACTTAAGATTGATCAAAGCGACATCACGTGGGAAATGTTGACTGAAACTTCAGGGGGGAGGGGGGGGGGGGGGGATCAACTGAAAAGAAAGAAAAGAAAGGGGGAAACTATTTTTAGAAGATTTCGCCAAACATTCAGCAGAAAGGAAAAAGGACATAAAATACTGTATTCAATCTTAATACAGTACCGTGCGTTTTTATGAGATAATACTTATTAAAAGATGATAAAATATAATATATTTTTATCAAAACTTTGGTCTTCTTTCTTTTCCAAATCTTATCGTTTTTCAAATCTACGCAAGAAAGTTTTAATCTATATTTCTCACCAACCAGAGCATAACTGCCCATTTCATAAGCCTGGTACTGAATTTAAATCTTACATCCCCCCACACACGCACACACAAAATGCATAATTTTCGCCTGCCATACATACCTTTACATTCATCTCCTATTGGCGTGTGTACTGGCATCACGTGCAACGAAGGGTTGTCACGTGACATAACGGAGGCGCCATTCTGATGACCTGTTTCGCGTTGTCTCCCCATGGTGTTGGGCATAATAATTTCTCATAATTTTACCTGAAAATGATCGAGGTTTTCAAACATAGCAACAACTAATGCATGCATTTTCATCATTAAAATATACTTGAAGCAGAAGAATAAAGAAAGAAAGAGTGAAAGAAAGAAAGAGAAGAGAAGAAGAAGAAAAAAGAAGAAGAAGAAGAAGAAGAAGAAGAAGAAGAAGAAGAAGAAGAAGAAGAAGAAGAAGAAAAAGGAGAAGCAGAAGAAGAAGAAGAAAAAGAAGAAGAAGAAAGAAAAGAAGAAGAAGAAGAAGAAGAAGGAGAAAGGGTTTGGGAATAGGCCTATATTACTACGACAGGAAAATAATAATTATGATATTTCGAATCCTTTAGTACATTAACATGTTAGTAAATCTTCATTTTTTTTTTACTGCATGATTTATGCACGCATTTCAAGGCTTTAGCTATATACATCTCCGTGTTCACACCCACTCCTAAATCTCACCCAGGCACCCCCTCCTCCGGGATTAGCGCAGATTAATAAATATTTATGATAGGCAGAGTCATTGCTTAAAGGGTGAGGAGTTAGACACCTCCCATTTAGAATTTCAGTCAGCATATTTTGAAGACCCTCTTTTACTCTTGTCGATAAATTGGAAAAATTTGAGATAGGACTATTTTTTATTTCCTTGTTGTAAACTTGCTAGCAATTTGGTCCGACACACTCCCAAATTCAAAATATTTTAGGGAGCCTCCTGGTTATCATTGTTTACAAGTCACATAAAGATGTTCTGATGGACTAAAGGATGTACCCACAAATCCTTCCTTAAAGAACGTACATTGATTAATCCTCCAAATTATCTCTGAAAAAATGAAGGATATTATTAAAGGCACACAATAATCAAAAGTATTTAAAACATTATTTTTCCTTCTTCAAGAATGACATCTTCCTAATCTATAAAAAAAACCTGTATTATCTTGTATATCTCGAAACTGTAGACCCAGCGACGTGGTAGACCCTAGGTCATTTGTGTTTGATTTTTGTTAAAATACGAGAAAATAACTTTGATTTCTGTAACTTGTGAACTTTGTCCCACGCGCCTTGTAATCAATTCAACTCCGAAAATGTGTTTTGCACTGAGATCAGTATAACCGAAGATAGGAGTAAGGAAATGAAGGTAATTACGTTCAATTTGCTTGATGATAGATTAGAAAGAATCAGTCTTGACTTCAAGGTCATTTTGTCAAAACTATGCATCACAGTTTATGTACTTGATGGGAGGAATATATAGCTCGACATTCATATCCTCACGAATATCGAGTCCCTTTTTTTCTCAAAATAAAAGCAAGAAAATGGATATTGCCGTCGGCGGAATATTACATAAACAAAGGTAAATTCATAATCATTCCAATAGAAGTGGGACTTTGACTCGGCTCGTACATATTTCATTGATTAGCAGGTAACTGAAAATCGAATAGTTATGTGCAGATGAAGTCAAGAACGCTTTTAGCCGTGTTAACCTTCTTGTACAATATTGTCTGTGTGTCTGTTCAATTTGACCTCGAAATTAAATACAGTAGACCTACGCTTGTCATATTATTTTGATAATGATTGTGATTGCCGACTTTAATAGGCGTATGTCATTTGCCAAGAATGTAGACCCTATTTCGGCATATGATATTAACAACTGTCTTTTAGACAGCAATGCATATTACACTGAGAAAAGAAATAATTAGTGAGAAATAATTGAAAATGACTGATAGTATCCGAATTGAGCATAATATTGCCAATACGTTGGTATTA